TTTTGTTTCGTAACTTTTGTGGGGGCTCATCACAGTTTCGGCAATTTCCCTAGATTCGACTTCATTCCTCAAAAACGTAATAATTTCCGAAACCTCACAATTCACTTCCCTGTTTCGTTTTCGGTGAAAATCTAACACCAAATCTTGTGGTAGCAACTTCAATAATATTGGATTCAATAAATGCCCATATGAACCCTCCGTTACATTTAATGAACGCAAATTTCTTATATTAACTTCTATTTCATCGTATAATTTACGCAAACCCTTAACATTAGACGAACTTCTCACGGGTTCTAAGCTTAATAATTTAGTCATGTAAGAATTTATAATAGAATCAGTTCTACCATATCTTTGTTTTAAAAGCTCAAGACATGAGTCATAGTTTTTCTCATTTAATTCAAAACCCGCAACAACGTTATATGCAGGACCAGAAAGAAGAGATTTTAAATATTGGAATTTTTCAATTTTCGTAAGTGAATTGTTTGAACCGATTGCGCTATCAAAACAGTTTAAGAATTCCATAAATTTGCCAGAATCACCAGAGAATCGCGAAATTTCTAACTTTGGTAATTTTAAAGCCGTAACGGTGTTTTCCGAAACACTAGATGTGTTAAGAACTGAAGAAGTCCGCTGAACATTTTCTGCTGCTAATTCTTTAATTTTGCTTTTTAGTTTAATCTTAGCTAACAATATTTTGTCATCGTATTCTTCCGAAGCTTTTAATTCACTTTTAAATTTTTCCGGATCGTCTATGAGTGCTTCCACCTCTAAATCATGGCTTTTCAAGATCTGCTCTTTCGTTTCTAATAGTTCCAGTAGTTCTGATAATGAACTTACGTCTTCGACGGCTTCATCAAGCTTCTGCACTCTTTTAACTAGTTTAGTAACACTAGCGCGAACGTTACTTCTTTTTTCAATTATTTTCGACAGCTTATCCATATTAACTCAGAATTTGTGAGTTCAGAAGGTCTTACCTCCACAGTCCGGTATGCAATGTTACGTATTCAAAAGCGTGCGTAAAGTATCCAAACTTCTCAGAAATATAATCCAGTAATGATGACTAATTACTTCCGATATTCCACATTCGCGGACAAGATGCACCAATTTTGCATCTAATGGTTCTGTGAGACTAAAGGTGCATCCAAGAGATAATAAGAGGTTTTGTTAACAATAACAACATTTATTTACAAGAAAATATACGAATTTCAATCAATTAGAGATATATTATTAGGCATCTCTGCCTTCCACGTCTTACACCTTTAGTATCCTGCCTGCCACTGACTATTAGGACGAACGCAGCGCCCTCTAGTCAGAATGACGCTGGAAATACGTAATAACCGCTTATTATCAAAGGTCCGTTGTAGCAGACCTTCATCAACATACCAAGCTGTTTTGTTGAAGTTGCTTTCTAAGTCTTCTAAGTAGAGAAACTAATTTTTGTTAACCCAGAATGTCAACTAGTATATAAACAGTTTAGTTAACTCAAGCATCTCCATAGGAAAAAATCAGAAGATTTCATTTTGCTTATTCAGAACACGTTATATATAGTTCAGTTTTGTTGAAGATGTCTTTTTGTCAATTCAGAGTCTACTGTCTATTTCAAAAATTATCCCTTAATGTTTACAAATGCCTCCAGATTCATTACACACCTGAAATTTGCGATGCTCGACTTCGTAAAACACAAGCTCTTTACCATTAGATTCATATCTCTAATTAGGTAAGTAGATGTCCTGATGGGTCATTACCTAACTCTAAATGTCCTTGCATTTCACAGGACTCAAGATATGTGTGTTTTATATCATTCATGTTTTTTAAAGAGATAAATATGAATGTTTTAAAATTAGGTAAAATTAAACGTTACATTCACATTGGATTTGCATGGAAACGAATTTTGAGAATATGAATGTCCCCCAAACTTATACAATTTGCGAAAGCTCTTGAGTTTCTGGTAATACACGTTAGAAGGAAGACTACGTATTTCATAATGTATGAGTCACCGTAATATGAGCATATAGTCTTCGCAGTTTTTTCCTGAAATTTACGCTTTGGCTTAGTGCCCATTTTCTGAATTAAATGAATAAGCTGGTTGTTTCAAAGTCTTACAGTGGATTAGAATCTATGAACACGAACTCGCTTACTTAGATTACTCAACGTACTGTTTTGTCACTGCAATCGCGGCCAGGAGCATAAATATATATTAGCGATACGAGTTAATTGGCCATTGGCCAGTAGTAACATAAATTAATATGCGTTCAGCGAAAACATTTTTTAAAGAAATTTTCCTATTTATTTCATTTAGGTTTCAAGAGATATATAATGAAGGAAGTATTGAAAGGATTTAAATGTTAGTAAAGGAAAAAATATTCTTGGACACAAGCACAATTTTTTATCTGACTACACTATTGGATGGATTAAGTGCGTTGACCAAATGAGGAGGAAGTTTAAGTTGACATTTCATAGTTTTATGTTTTATTTACAAATTTAAAAGTTAAAAGAAATTCTAAATTCTATTACTAGTGCATAACAATAGAATTAAAAATACACTCATGTCCATAAATTAAGGATAATTCGGAGTCACGCGAAATCGAACTCTAAACTAAATATATCGCCTGTAAAATCACTACACACATCTTCAAGAATCATATGCAAATTTCAGGAAGTAACCGGATGACACCGATGGTACGCACAATAACGAGAGTGTAAGAGAGTGATATATAAGGAATACAGGCAAAGAAGTAAAATTGTTCGCAGGCGCTTTATAAGCATTTCAGTGCAATAACCGAGTAGTTATGACACAAAGGACGCATTTGGATGATTTTTTACGTGGTAGAATTATCGGCCGTCTGGAATGTGGGCGTACCCAACTGGAAGTATCAGACGAACTTGGAATTGCCCAGAGTGTCATCTCCAGGCTCTGGCAACGATTCCAAGATGATGGTAATGTGAGTAGACGTTGCAGCACAGGTCGCCTCAGAGTTACAACGCCGAATGAGGACCGGTATTTGGCAGTTACTGCCAAAAGAAACAGGCGGAGCACAGCCTCAGACCTGTCTCGTCAGCTCTCTTCAGCCACTGGTACGACAATTTCAAGGCAGACCGTGTACAGACGCTTAGGGCAGATTGGTCTATATGCTCGTAGACCTGCCAGATGCGTTCCACTTACTGCAACTCACTGTCGCCTGCGGTTATCCTGGAATAGAGAGTATGCATTGTGGACACCGCAACAGTGGGCTTGTGTGATGTTTTCCGACGAGTCAAGGTTTAGCTTGTAGTCTGATTCTCGCCGGACTTTCATATGGAGAGCTCCAGGTACCCGTTACCACCAAAAAAACATCATTGAACGACACCGTTACAGTGGTGCAGGAGTGTTCGTTTGGGGTGGAATTATTCTGGGTTCCAGAACTGACCTGCATGTTCAAATTGGAACCATGCCAAGCCAAATCTATCGGGACGTCATTCTGGAACAACATGTACGTTTGTTTCGGGGCGCCATGGGCGCACAATTTGTGTTTTATGGATGACAACGCCCGTCCTCACCGTGCAAACTTCGTAAGCGAATGCCTTCAATCAGAGGATATCACCCGTATGGACTGGCCAGCATTCTCACCGGACTTGAATCCAGTAGAGCACGTGTAGCACGTTGGCCGGCGAGTTGCAGCCCGTCAACCTCCTCTTACATGTCTACCGGAACTTCGGAGAGCATTGCTTTTTGAGTGGTGTAATATCCTCCAAGATCAGATCGATAATTTGATACTCAGCATGGCTAGGCGTTGTACGGAATGTATTGCATCGTCTGGGAGACATACAATGTATTAACAATCATAGCAACCATGTAATATTGGTTTTTTCTGAATAGTTGTTTTTTGTAATTTGCTCCAGGGAGAAAAAATCGCTAATTTATTTAATAATATCAAACATATAGCATCTTTTTTTGCTCTTTACCTTTTACCTTTTGTTTAATAAAACCTTTTTTGTTTTTTGGTAATAAATAGCTTTTTAGGTCAAATTTGTTTTGCTTCTCTTTCTTTGCCTGATTTTGCATTATCCTTAATTTATGGACATGAGTGTATTTGCTGTATTTAATAACGCTGTATAATATTTGAACTAAATGCAAATACGGCCATTTTTCTATAACAGTTCCAGGCTTGTTCAATAAGTTAGGGTTTATATAATTGTCAAAGAATATAAACTATTGGAATGCGAGCTCTTTCTTTAGCTTGTAAATATGTTTTGTTCGCCGGAAAGGTAAATAAGGCACTGTATGTGTCTTTGAATACGCGAAAATATCCTTCTTATAAAGAGTGTTTAAAAATTATTACATGATTATGTATCCTTGAACATGTGGTCCTATAATACGTGGTTTCATATTAAGAAATATATCAAGCAGACCTTAAGGCTACCATAATTTTGGCCTCGCAACGCATTTTAATAATTTTGCTCGAATGATGATGGACTGTTTTAGTTTTAATTGCTTCGGCTGTGAAAAACCTTTCGCTCGTTAACATTCCTTCCCTAGAAGCCTATTTAACATTTTAAGTTCCACAGATTTTTACTAAATTGTATCCATGATCAAAATTGTCAAACTGCCTATTTTAACTGATAAATAAAACAAAAAAAACCAAGCCTATTTTAACTGATGCATTCCCGAAATTGCAACCATAGGAGGAAAGCTAAACGTTCAAGAAATATTAGGCAAGAAATTTATTTCAGGAAAAGTTAAAAAAAAAAAAAAAACTTTCCGAAATAACCTGAAAAAGTAAATTGAAATTTATAAAATACTACAGATTTGCTGAAAAGATCATATTAAGTTTTGAATGAATGAGTTTATGTTGCACAGTAAAAGATTTGAAAACATACACAATCAAAAAGCAGATGACGGCTGTAGTCCGAAATTTTATATTTGGTTAATTTTCTGTTTCAACATACAGCATCATTAGCCGAGCCGCTAATATAAATGTGTCTATTTGCTATATGTTTTTTACGTATTTGTTTCATCACAGGTGGTGCACGGGCCTTCTTTACCAGGATGGCTGTGCAGCGATCGTCCGTTGGTGCCTTTAATTGTTCGTCCTGAAGGAACCCTTCACGAAGCAGAACCTCATGTATTTAGAGTGAGTAGAGATTTCAGTGCTTTTATGTCCTTTATTAATACTTGCAACCATGTTTTGAGTATTGTTAAATTCTGACATAAAGATTGATAAAATAAATATGTATTAAAAGTAGTGTTTAAAACAATTGCCATGCTTATTTTTTAAGTTTTAGGGAGGAAAATAGGTTTATCCTGTAGCTAACAAAACTATGACGATTATTCAGCTTGAGAGAAATGAAATAGTTCAAAACCTGTGTTAGTAAACTAATTCTTTCTCATGATTAGTTTCTAGGTTAGCTAATTCAGGCAAAGCACTTGGTTAGACATGCTTTCTTGAAATAGTTAAAGCTTTCTATGCGCAGAATTTCGCATTTAATCTGCAGATGGAATAACTTCAAAAACTTTGTTCAGTTTAAGTTTGTTCAGTTTTAACCGTTTAGTTACACTGAACATACCACTGAAGACAAAGTTCTCGCGTTTTGTCATTCTCGCCGCTTTTTCCCTAATAAGCTGGGTACAGGTATACAAACTCATATTTGTATACAAAGATTAAAGGAACGCGTTACCAATGCCGGTGATATTATTATATATGTATAAAATGCTGAAGCGTACTAACTCCTAGCCTTATTTTGCTATGCAAATATTGTTTTACAGCATTATTAGCCTTCCAAGCTGTTACTTGTTTATGTCTTCATTTTTTATAAATTTCTTTCCTTTTTGTATGTGTTGATGCTGTATCATTTTTTTAATGATAAGGTTTATCACAAATGTTTTTGTCCTCTTTATTATAAAATTTAATTTCTCATTTTTATGATGTCATTGCATTTCCTCTTCCCCTTCCAAAGACAAAGTTTGTCTTATTACTTCTTGTTTAACTGGCTTTTTGTCTTATTTTGGTGCCCAGCAGACTGAATTTTAGTGGGACAGGCCTTAACGTGTTTCTCGTTAGTTTCTTGGCTGTTGTGTTTGACAATTACATTACCCTTAAAGATTATCGACATATCATAAGCCCATGTAATTGTTCCACATTTTTATCTCATAAGACATGCACTTTCTCACGATGCTCATGCACTAAATGTCACAAAAAAGATGTTACACAGCCTTTGAAAATCATGATGTGAAACAGCAAAGTTTCCCCAAAAATCGCTGTAACTACCATTAATAAGACTTGTACTGGACATTTCGAAGGAGAGTCGTTTCAGAATTGGTCTTTATATGAGGGCTTACGCAAAACTAATAGAATTACGCTACTCACAGTTGTTTCAGTTTTAATGTCGAACCCTTGTGTCTATTGTGTTATCAGACTACGCCTCGTAGTAGAGTCTTCTGTTGCAATTTAAGTTTATAAATCCAAGAATTGAGATAAATATTACATGTCGACTGACAGAGTTGAGTTTTGCATTTACTATCACTTTCGTCGACTCTCGCCAGGATACAAATTATATATTATACGCGTAGAGTTCTTGAGCTCGAGAGTGAGTCTTTAGGTAGTGACTGCCGACCGGCTACTAAAATAGATTTTAAATCTTCATCTGAATTTATGAATTATTTTTCTAGGTACGATGGCGCGATAAGTCATCTATCTGTCTTTACGATTCTAGGAGTTAGCATTTAAATTAGTATAGAACCGTACACGTTTTTATAGAATTCAGAATTACGGGTATTGAAATCAGATTCGAAATGTTTAAACTTTAGACCTGCGTTATAGGATTTATCGTACTAGTGGGCAAACATTAGGACAGACGACGCTGGAAAAAATAAATAAGAGAACCATTGGTGAAAAGATGGAAGGAACAAAAAAAACTGCTTTTTTTTTTAATGGACATGGTCAGATTAAAGTACGGTAGATATTAACTAAAGTTTATTTAAATGATAAAAAATAACTGCTTAGCAGATTGGCTATTTTGAATATAAATTGGCTATTTTGAGGAAAGATGTCACGCCTAGAAAAGTTAACAAGCAGCTTCTTTACAATACAGTTTCTGTTTTCACTGTTTCGCTCTAAGAAGGATTCACCAATGGCCAATGAAACCGTTGCTATAGAGTACGTTTGGCGAAATTATCAATATCTCAACATAAGTGAATATTAAAACATCACATAATTAAGGGAAATCACAGTCAGGCCTAAATTGAAAACAGAGAAGAAATGGTGTTTATGTCGATACAATGCAGTTATGGATACAATTTCATACAATGGAATTCATTGCAAGTGCTTAGTTTGATGAAGTAAAATTTACAGAAATCTTTTTAACTAAGTAAACAAATCGAAAATAACATAATTATTTAAAAAAGAAGAGAGAAGTCTAGATATTACTGAAGAAAATTCAGAAAATAATATTTTGCTTCCCCAAAGAAACGCTATCTGTTATTACTGATTAAAAGTGATGACGAAGAAAAATTACTTAATATTAATATGCAACATATTTAATGATTATAGCACGAGTATTTTGGAGTCTAACTGTTTTTTGCATGAGTTCTTTAGTCCGAATAACATGACATTTCTTAAGAATTTAACAACCGTGTTAAACGGAGTTATTTGTACTTAAAATTGAGTACGTAAGAAATATTCGTAGTGTTTGTTATATTTAATGATATATTATGGAAGCTCATCATATGTACTATAGGTAAGATAAAGCTTTTTTTATTTGCAATAACAACTAAAGTAAAAGGAATACTTGAATTTATTGAGTAGCAAATGCATCTAACATCGGTATTTGGAATGCTTGCTGTGATTGGGGGGGGGGATGCGTGTGTGTTTATGCTAAGTGTTATGCTTGGGAAAGTTTATTTGAGAAACAGCATCTTCAGATCCTAAGATTTTATTTCATATACGTATATCAATCTTCATTGTAATTATAAATGTAAATAAAATTAAAGCAACTATTTATGATCTATCCATTAAATAGTTTCATTATTTTCCTAATCGAAATGAAGATGACAAATTGAATCAAGGCACAAAAGTTAGTATCTCAAGGAAAGTTATCATGAAGTGAAAGACTGGATGAAAATAATATTACTGAGTACAGAATTAAAACATCTGGGATGAAAATGTTATTACCGTGTACAGAATTAAAAGAAGGAAACGATTAACGATTAATTAAGGATTAGAAACGATTAATTAAAAGAATTAAACGGTGATAACACATTTTGGATCTTCATGTTATGCCTTCAGAAGTCACTTACAGAATCAATAAAACAGAAAAAGTTCTTTAAATAGAATGTAATTTAGGAATCTTGTGAAATATTTTTAAAAAGGGATTTTGTTCTGCTTTACCTTCTAATCGATTAAAACTTCATATATATATATATATACAAAGGGTCATTACAAAAAAATTTCGGCGATATATGAAGCTCTAAGAGTCTATCCTCTCAGCAAAACGAAATGGAATTTCAAATATTGTTACCTAAATGTATGCGCTTGAGGATTTAAAATAATAAATAGATCTCTCACGGTTACGCTTAAAATGAAGAAAAAATCGAAATTTTCGAATGGTAACACCCATTTTTTCCTGCGCAAACTGATCAGCGCATTGAAACCGTAAATGGCCCTGAAACGATACACATGTGACGAAAATTACCGGCGTAAAACATTAGCAAAGAACAGCATTGTAAAGGACCAGTGACAACACAAGAGGGAAGAGAGACAAAAACTTTTATTGGAATTATAAGTTTTCAACCTGTCCACCTTCGCAGACGATTACGCATTGCATGCGGGAGATTGTTGACAATAGTAACGAAGATAACATTGCAGGGCGAATCTATATAACTTTCTTTGCGCAGGCTATAATTTCCTGGATCTGCGCTGGAAAAAATGAGTGTTGCCATTCGGAAATTTCGAATTGTTTTCACCGTAATCGTAAACGTGAGAGCTCTATTGTTTTAAATCACCACATTCTCGAGCGCTTACTTTTAAATAACAATATTTGAAATTCTATTTCGATTTGTTAAGCGAATAGGCCGCTAGGGGATGATATACAGGGAAGGATTTTTTTTAATAACCACTCTGTATATCTTTTTTATAACCACTCCACTTTTTATAACCTTTTACGGGTATGACTATTAGTGTTTATAAAAGAAAAAAGAAGGTAGTATGCCTCGTTTAACTTTATGCAATTGTTCTTATGCTGAATACTATATTTTTCTAGAATATAGTCAATTTATTATACGGACTTGCTAAGAATTTATTCGAAAGAACTGCAACTGACTCAGATTTTAAATATATTTTTCTTATTACTGTTTACAGGCATTTCCCTGCACTTCATTAATAGGAGGCGATGTACTCAAGACATCCACATCTCAGGTATAGTACACAAAGCATCAGCTGCTTCATATTCTAAACTTAAAGCTTATTTTGAATTTAAAGCGCGATTTCAGTTTTATGTAAAGCTTTCCAACTGATGCGACTGACTGATTTTTTTTATTCATTATATAGGAATTAAGTACAATAAGAACAGTTAAATCTTATATGAGAACACTAAGAGAATGCACATTTCCACTTAAGGCTTAGAATATTAATTATAATAAAATATAATAATTGTATATTATAATTAGTATTCGAATAGTAAATTATAATATAATATTAAGACTTTTAAGTTACTGAAGCGCATTTTGTGTTTGGTACTGATAACTCAAATTTAAAAAATCTGATGTGTACGCCACATGACTTCCTTGTACGGATTATGAAATTTTACGCATTTTTTCCTGCATTTCATTTAAACTTGTTTCCTCGAATTCCTGTAACCAGGATTAGCTGATAAAATATTCCAATGTGTTTTAATTATAATAGTCGAGCCGAAAATTCTAGCCCCTTCCCAAAGCAAAAGGAAAAAAAACAGTAAATTCCTGTAGGATTTTTGAAATTTATTACTCATGAATTTCAATTTCTGGTCTTTGTGTAAAATTGGTTCTAAATTTCTTACTTTATGTCTTTACTAATGATTTTTTAGCAGCTTAATAAGCGAATATATATTTAATTTTGAAAAAACTCCGATCTAGAATTTTTGTACATTGTATATATACTGTATTTTCATCCACACTGTATTCGTATCATCCATTAGTAACGGGTATAAAGTGATGGCCAAACCAAGTGTCAAAAACAGGAGCGGGAGAGGAAAATAAATAATTGCGTTAATTTTGAGTTCGCGTAAGTCGGGTATTTCTGTATATTCATTTGTGATCTGTTATTTGTGTTGAGTATGCTAATAAAGTCCGTATCGATTTCGTATAATTTAAAGTAAAAGCTTAAAATTATCCTAATAATAGATTTTCTTACATTATAAACGCATGTTATAGAGTTATGGCTTAGAATTTCTTGCAGCTTAAACCTATATGTTATAGAGTAATGAATGACTTAGATTATTCTAAACCATTGCTCCATAACATACGGTTATGCTGCAAGAAAATCCGTTATTCTATAAAATACGTTTCTGCTGTAGGAAAATCTGCCAGCCCCCCTTTTTTTTACTTCATTTCTAAGTGATATTTTCTCGTTTTCTGCAGCCAGCGAATCACAAACTCACATCACTATATCACATTTACCCATTTGTTTTCAGACCGTTTACAAGGAGTACTTTTATCACAAACTTTAGTGAGTCAGACACTTTTAAAAACGATTTAACTTTTATACATCCTTTGTCAGAAAAGTTCCATGACAAAGGTCGTAAAAAATAGAAAATTGCATTTACCAAGTAATGATCCTAGCCGCTATCAAAGTAGTCCCCTTGGCTATCTACACAACTTTCTGGAAGTTTTGAAAGCAAACGGAGAAATCTTCAACTGCGATACTTGCGAGCTGATTTGTCACAGCCTGTTGGATGCCTGCAAAAATCTTGATGAAGCTTTCCTTTCAGTCACCTTTTCACTCAAACAAAAAAAAAATACCAATAATTGACACAAATCTGGGATCACGTCTGGCATAACTGCCTTACACCCACTTTTGCATCGGTGCTATAGACGGGTGACCAGCTCTGAGATCGTCTTGCACTGAATCTCTGCCTTCATAAAACCTTTTGTGCCACTCGAAAACACGACTTCTTGAAAATGCCTCGCCTGCATATGCTTGCTTAATCATGTTCCACGTTTCACTGGGGATGATCTTGAGCTTAACGCAGAACTTAATGTTCACTCTTTACTCACAATCAGCGTCCATTGTATCACCTTAACGAATGCAACAACAATCCGAACAGTGTGTTGCTAAGCACAGCCCTACCACCTCGTAAGTTTGCGTGGAAACATGGCGAAGGTCATGTTCTAGAGACATTAGGATTTTTTTTTGAAGCAGACAAGATGAAAAATTAGCAACCGCCTTCACAGGCAATCGAACCATACTCTGGAATACTGGCTCAGCGTGCAGAACCACTACACTACGAAGGCACGCTTGGAAAGTGGGAGAAATACCTTATATACTCCCCTTTTTAAAGGGCGACTGAGGTTTTCAGGGAACCCAACAGCTAAATATCTGGGTGTGGAGATTCCATCACCCTTTTAATTCAGGCGCCACTGTAGAGACATTAGGATTTTTTTTTAAGCAGACAAGATGAAAAATTAGCAACCGCCTTCGCCGGGAATCGAACCACGGACCTCTGGAATACCGGCCTAGCGTGCAGAACCATTACACCACGAAGGCACGCTAGGAAAGTGGGAGAAATACCTTATAATGTGAAGTAAGAATACATAACAGGTAACATAAAAACAACATTTGTTCCTTTTTTACTTCCTTGTACACGAAGTACTTAACGAATGCAACAACAATCCGAACAGTGTGTTGTTAATGACAGCCCTACCACCTAGTAAGTTTGCGGGGAAACATGGCGAAGGTCATGTTAAGTAAGAATACATACCAGGTAACATAAAAACATCTGTTCCTTTTTACTTCCTTGTACACGAAGTAAAGAGGAAGTATTGTAATCGCGAAATGTTTCAGGCATATTTCCACGCAAATATCCATTTTCCTCGCTATCGAATGTACGTAAGGACAGAATAAAGGACTCTTCCCCCCCAAAAAAAAATTGTAAAACTAATTTAAAATGAACTCTGAAGAGAAATTTTCGTAGCGTCTGTGCGTACATATGTATCTCGCATAACTCAAAAACGAGTAGCCTCAGAACGTTAAAATTTTGTATATAGGACTGCTATAACATGTAGATGTGCACCTCGTATTTTGGTTGCAATCGGCAGCACCAAAGGTATATAAATATATATATATCCACTCTGTTACTCGGCTCAGTGATCTCAGTTTCTTTCTTCTTATATGTTTGTAAATTGTGCATTTTTCGCTTTAAAAATGATTGAATTATGTTGTTCTTATCTTCCGGTTAAGGTTGTTATGGTTTTAGTAAATCCATATGCAATATTTCTAGAATTATCAACAATTTAAAAGTTGTTTAAATGCCGCTAAGCCTAATAATTTTTGCCATGGCTGCCATTGCTTGTTTACATTTGAAACAGCAGAATAGTAGATTTGTTGCCAATCTAGAGAAAGTAAGCTTCGCAATAACAAAGATAACGCCTTCTTTTATTATTGCGAATTAAATCATGCTTAATCCTTTCTGGAATTTTTTCGAGGAAGTAAGTGTTTAAGATTTACTTCGTAATTTTTAATACAGATATTTTGAGTTTTTATGTATTTTTGCTTGCCTTGTCGGGAAGTGAGAACTGAATTAATTGAATGAGAAATACTGAATCGTCTGTGAAAAACTGTTTCTTTTTCTTTTTCTTTTTCTTTTTTTTTTTCTTTCTTGTTCTTCTTCTTTGCTTAATTTCTTTTATACATCGTTTTAGATTTATTATAGTATTTGAATAGAACATGTGGCAACGATTAGATAATTCTTAAGATGATATAAATTTTGTGCATCCTGAGTTAAAAAATTAATGAAAAGTAACGCTTATGCGCTATCGAAGAAGTAGATTTAATTCAATCCAATAAGTTTAAATGAAATGCAAGAAAAAATCCGTGTAATTTAATATTCCGTATAAGGAAGTCACGTGGTGCACACATCAGATTTTTTAGTACTGCAACTCAAGTTTAAAAAAATTGTCCTGGAAATTTTTCTGACAACGAATGTTTACCACTTCATTTTATAATGCAAATTTTGAAAATGGTAGCAAATAGTGAAGATTGATCATAATAACGATACTTTAGCTCTGCATTTAATATAAAAAAGCTATATTTCTCTAATTTTAACCTTTGTTCTAATGATAATTTTAAGCTTGGTCACATTAAAGGGAACTATTTGTAAAGCGGAAAAATAGCAAATGAGTTCTCTTTTATGGTTTTAGATATATATGCAATTTTAAAACCTTCCTTTTTTTTTATCTCGAATTTTTCAATTATGTTTAATGATGGAGATATGTTACGTATTCATAATTCTTAAAAATAGCATCAACTTGCTTTAAAAGCTCTCAAATTCATACTTTAGTTTCCACGCTATAAATTTAGAGCATGCGTGCATTGTGGTAAGGCATCACTGCATTCAAAATGCAGTGATGCTTTACCACAATAACACCATTAAAGTGTAGAGCAGCATTAATGATTGATTAAATCAAACTCTCAGTGCAGTCTCTTGTTTATTATGAAGTATAACACAAACTTCTTCTTTCAGAGTACCATTTTCACACCTCTCATCGTAACAGAATTACTTAGGAATGCACAATGAATTGAATATTTCATTCAGCGGCTTGCATAAACTCACCAAGAGGATAACGCAATTGCTGTGGCGTATGTGGCAATAATTGGCGATTCTCATGCAAAATTCCGTATTTATTTCAAAATTGAAATTCTGAGAATGATTGATTTTAATTCTTGTAATATTATTTAAAGTCCTGTATATTTTTAGAGGGCATGATTAATGGAGAAATACGTTTCTTAGTTTGTGGTTCATGAATGAAATATTATACGAAAAATAATCTCACAATTCAACACTGGAAGTCATTTTATCTGAGAGAAATAAACAGCAAACTATTTCGATTGAGCTATTCAAAACGCCATTAAAATTATTATTACTCAACTTTCGGAATGATTCTGGAATATACTCACCTGCCCTAGTTTTAGAATAAATTCCCTAGTATTTATTTCTAAAATGAATCCAATTTGTTAAGAAAATATTTTTTTTGTATGTAATTTTTCAGGTTATGTAGAAATGGGATACTGACCTAAAAATTACTCGACTCGTTTAGGAAGCCAAATTATTCTTTACTTTTCCGGAGTTGTTGGTGAGCCTGAGTTTCGTAGAAAGTCTTGGTGATGAAGAATCTTTGCTCACGGAAGGAATCTATCCAGCCACATCTGCAAGGAAATCATTCAGGCAGGTAAAACATTAAGTTCTTCAGAATGACTGAGCAAGAATATATACATATTATGATTCTATCAACAAGGAATAAATCATTACTTGCTATAATAAATAGTCTATGTCTAAAGTTATTAATATAGTTTTTTATTGCCTTGTTAAGTGAATGAAATTTTATGATGTACTGATAGTTTATCCAAGTTGGGTGAAATAGTCATACATAGGATAATTCCACATCTTTCCAAGTATACCGGGCATTGACACCAGAAGAAACTCTTTAATGGCCGTCAGCCATTTTTAACATAAATGACATTGAGTTAAAGATCCTGAAGAATTTATTGAAAGAGGAATAGAAAATTAGCTAAAACTGTACTCCACAACGTTTTAAAATAATAATTCTTGCCCCATAGATTTAACGTTTCGATAACAAGTATATAATTTACATTGAATAATAGGTATTAAATATGAGGATATAGGAAAATCCTGGAAATCGAAGTTGAGCAGTGAGGATTCCTGTAGCTATATTCGGATGGTAGTAGCCCGATGGAGCATGTATTTCCCCTCTGAAATAAACTCTTTCCTTTCAAGTAAGGGACGTGAGAATTTCTAAGTGATTAACTAGCTTATTCTAGTATATTAATAGTCGGTATAGGTACAAAAATATATTACCGTCGTATAAGCAAAAAAAGCTATGACTGCCTAGAACAAAATGTATTCAGATTGATGAAATGATGCCATCATATTGGCAAAGTCCTACATTTTTATCCAATCATAAGCCTATTGAAGCAAGAAATAAAATTCATCTGATTACGCAACTCAACTTACTCTATAAAAGTCTATTTTCGATATCCTCGACTCACTGCAACACTTTATTTAAAGTGTTATCTTTCGATGAAGTGAAGTTCATAGTGACACATGAATTCACAGAAAATTGCAGAAAATTAATTAGTGGGTTCTGAGCACGATTCCTGACAAGAAAACATACGTTAAATTAATTTTTATTTGAGAACTTAGGGGGTCTCGGGTAACGAGCATGAATAACGAGGTAGTAAGTTACATATAAATGAAAATATGTTCAAAAATGAAACCTCAGAATGCTAGTCGATTATTGTTTGGACGTTAAATGTGTTGTATCAGAGTTAAACGTATTAAGGGAAATCAGGCAAGTTTTATTATTGTATTTTTATCATTAATATAATGGCTAAGGAAGGTAGAACAAAAGTACTTTTCTCTTAAAAAACAAATTAAACTTCTTCATAGATCTAGCCGATAAGAAAGTTGGCAATTGAACTTGAAATTTAGGAACAAAGAGTTCTAAAATTTAGGATTTAAAGACACTATAACAGCTTTTATCTTTTGTTAGAAACTAATATATAGTTGGTAGAAAACACGCATAGAAATTACCTTTAGCGTAATATAAAAACTGAAAAGTAATGAAAATTACAGAAAAAGAAATGTGCATGAATGCATTGACCAGTTATTTTACAGTTTTTCGAAGTTAATGTTCATGTTAAAAACACAATTGGACAAGAAACCTGACAAACAGAAAGTTATATTATCTATTCTTTAACGTTAGTCATAGCGGGATCATACTTAAAGAATGGACACGGTGGATATATTTTTCGATAATCATTTGTTGGTATCAATTAATCTCTATTTTGGGAATGTATAACAACATGCAATAGTAATTGCAAGCAAGAATGTTTCAACTATTTACAGTTTATAATGATTACCTAAATTAGATTTATTTCTAATTAGAACGAGTTTTTACAAATTGCTGTTTTTATTTCTCAATGATAACTCATTATTCTTTTTTAGGGCTTTCAGGCAGAGGGTCCATTCTGCTTTTTAGATTCACTGGATTTTTCAGGTCAACCCAATCGGCAATTTGAGGACCGCTGTTTGTTGCGTGAGCTGAACAAAGCACTTGCTGCCTTTTCCCACGAACCCCGGGATCTTCCTCCTAGCATACATCAAAGAAGGCAAACACCTGTTGGAGAAAGCTCAAGTTCAGGTCCATCCAGGAGGGGTTCATCTAATGTTGATTCAGAGACGCGATCCTCCAAAAGACTAGTGGCTGAAGATATCAGGAAAAGAACAAGAGAAAAGAAAGATAAATGCCAAGTAAGGTCTCTTTAAAGCTAAGCAAAATATGTTTATGTAACAATAATAAGCGAGAAATCAACAAGTAGAAATTTTGGGATTGCCTGATCTAAATATAAAACTAAAACGTTCATTTAAAAATTAGAATGCTATTAACTCACATTTAAGAACTCCAGTTAAATGTGTATTTAATGAAAGGATAAATAGATTTGGTTTATTAGGAATTCAAAATGTACTTTTAATTTTTGCAATGCCATCAGTAGTAAAAATATTTTTCGTCTTCAATAATGAATTTCAAAGAAGTTTTATGTCGTTAAATTCTGTAAAAATTAACTCCAAAATGAAACATAAGTCAGTTTTGTGAAGTAAATACCGAATTTCCCGATTTACGTTACCTCTATTTACGCGAAATTAAAGTTACGCGATTTCTTATTTTTGCGTTGTTTTTGAAAAGCGAGACGAAAACAATGCCAGGAAGAAGCTGATAAAATCATTCACACAATCGAAGAAAGTGACAGGTTTGATATGCAATTATATTTTGAAGCTAGTATAGTGTTAATCGGAAATCTAGTACAGTAATCACTAGTATAGTAATTTTAGTATAGTGCAGAAGTTAGCGAACTTCTGCAATATCAACTTACAAAGACTATGAAAGAGCTGACTGCTGACTATGACTTACACAGTAAAGAGCTGACTACTGATAACCCATGAGTTTAGACAGATGCGTGAGAAAATTGCTATTAAAGATGCCCACACTTGAAACGCAGATGCATCAGAAAAGTATATGATAACTGCAAGCTTAACTGAAGAGTTCGATTTATATAAAAATCTGATGTGTACACCACATAGCGATATTAAATTATACGCATTTTTTCTTGCATTTCATTTGTACCGAATGTTAAATTATACGCATTTTTTCTTGCATTTCATTTAAACTTATTAGATTGAATTAAACCTACTTCGCCGACACCGCATAAACCACAATAGAATAAATGCATTCTTTAAAATTCACTTTGTTTACCATAGCGACACTCTGGCGCTAGGTTCACTTAACAGTATTATATTTCGTTCATATTATAACTCAGAATGCACAAAATTTATATTATTTAAAGAATTATCTAATCGTTGCCACATGTTCTATTCAAATACTATAATAAAGCTAGAACGATGTATAAAAGAAATTAAGCAAACAAAACAAAAAAGCAACAGTTTTCACAGACGATTGAGTATTTCTCATTCAATTAATTCAGTTTTCACTTCGCGACAAGGAAAAAATACATAAAAACTCAAAATATCTGTATTAAAAATACGAAGTAAATCTTAAACGCTTATTTCCTCGAAAAAATTCCAGAAAGGATTAAGCATGATTTAAATAATAAATGAAGGCGTTATCTTTGTTGTTGCGAAGCTAAGTTTCTCTCTAGATTAGCAACAAATCCGCTATCCTGCTGTTTCAAATGTAAACAAGAGTAATGGCCGCCATCAAAAACATTATTAGGCTTAGCGGCACTTAAACAATTTTAAAATTGTTGCTAATTCTAAAAATATTGCATACAGATTTACTAAAGGCATAAAAACCTTAACCCAAAGATAAGAACAACATAATCCAATCATTTTTAAAGCAAAAAATGTACAATTTACAGACATATAAGAGTAAAGAAACTGAGATCATTGAGCCGGGTAACAGAGTGGATATATATATAATATATTTATATACGTTTGGTGCGGCCGATTGCAACCAAAATGTTATAGCAGTCCTATATACAAAATTTCAATGTTCTGAGGCTTATAGTTTTTAAGTTATGCAAGATACGTACGTACATACGTTCGTACAGACGCCACGGAAAATTCTCTTCAGAATTCATTTTAAAGCAGTTTTATAATTTTTTTTCAGGAAAAGAGTGTTTTATTCTGTCCTTACGTACAGATATCACGGAAATACATCGTTAAATTGCATTTGAAAGAGGTGAAAATGGGATATTTTCGTTGAAATATGCTGCCTGAAACTTTTCGCGATTACAATACTTCCTTTTTACTTCGTACAAGGAAGTAAAAAAGGATGCCAAGTTTGGGAGAACATAGAATTCTAACGAAGAAGGTATTCTACCTGCAAGACAAGGAATAATATAATTATTAGCCGGCTCTGAAGAAATTTTACATAATTGAAAAATTCATTGAGTTGTTAGACAATTTAATTTATGTAGCCATCTGCATTGAAATTCCGTTTTACATAGCATATTTATTTTAATACTCTTTAATATTGGTGTGTATAAAGATTATAATCATTATTAGCCCAATGGGCGTTAGCCCAGAAGGGATATTAATTTCAAAACGGCATTTTGCGTCGATTCGCTTTTCAAACTGTTGCCACCAAATATTATCGCCATGTATCATATATAAAGAAACTAAATAAGAAAGAATATGCATGAATGTTTCTCGCATTGTGAAGAAACAAAGATACCAAAGCCATCAAATTTTGAATAACGTAGTCCACCAACCGAAAATGGGCACTCGGAAGCCCGTATTTTGAATTTGTTTTATTATCTATTCACATTTTGTAAAACTTTAACGAATTTTTGATTAACAACTCAACAGTTTCAAAGCGAGCAATGACAACATTGTACGGAAAAAAAAAAAAAAAAAAAACATTTTTTATCTCCAACCCGCGAGACTGTGTATCGTAAATTCTAAAGATATGCTGTTTTGCTGTTTTTAAATATTTTGTGATATCGCTGTTGAATTGAGTTTTATGTGTTTTAAAGTCCGAAGAACATGATATTTAATCAATAAAGGTAACACACAAAATTAAAAAACACCTTTTGGGCGTAATATAAAATCTGAAAGCTTTTAGATTTTTTTAATGTATTTTTCTTCTAAATAATTTTTTAATCCTTGATTTCGTTTAATTAAAATTCATATTTATTTATATGCAAAGTTAGATCCCCGTCTTATGCGAATCCTGTTAACGAATCCTGAATCCTTTGTCCTACTTATCAAACTTCTTTATATTATGGCAATAGTTCTTTCTTCTACGCTTTACTTATATGTATGATAAGACTTATAATTATCCTTTACTTAAATGATGTATTACTTCCTTTACAAACTTTCAGCTTTGACTAAGCGTTTCGAGAAATAGAAATAATATCAAACATACGAAAATCAGGTTGAATGCATCGGTAATTTCTTAAGTAGATGGTATTAAATGATGATATTGCTGTCATCTTTCTCAATATTACTGGAAGTTTCTCAATATTACTGGTAATTTTTGTTCATCAGCCGCTCATACATATGTCTGACAAGCGGAAAGATGTTTGTTTCTCTTGCTTCTAGTCAAGGATATATGTGAGGGTGATTGCAAGGACGTTTTAAAATGCAATGAAGTAAGTAATGCAAGGAAGTTTTAAAATAGGTATTTTCGAGTATAATATTTCTTTGTTTTCCCTTCCATTGACAAGATTTAATGCATCGGTTAACCTTGGCTAAACTTAAATCAACTTTTTTCGACTATATTTTAACGAGTTTCAGATCAGCTTATGACTTGATATATGAGAATTTTTTTAAGTTTTCAAAAAGTTTATAATTGGAAATTAATATTTCTAACGAAAGAAATTTATCTTGCACAAGCGTAAAGTATCTATCACTAGGTGCTTACGAATGATTTTTGTTTAAATTGCGTTGAGCATAAAAGTGAAATAAGAGCACCTTCATAAAATGAAATTTAACATATTCAGACTAATTACACGTTATTAACGAATTCTGTTAATTCAAAAGGGTTGCCCTTTTTAATTGCATTAAATTGATGGAACTCCCTCGAACTCCACATTTCTTTACTCACTCTCAGTAGAATTTTAACTGTTCTGAATAATTTCTGCTCGTTCATTAACTTGTCCATTACGGTCGAGCGGTAAATTGCTGAACACTTTTAGTTTGATCTGGTTTCAAATCCGGCAAACAAACTAGTTTCATGACAGTTTCCGTGACCTTTCTTCGTGTGTAATATAAATTCGAGCAAGTTTTTCTTAAAACATCTTCCATGAAGCCACTCTTCCTTTTAGCCATATGGCCCTCATGTACGCTGTTGTAATCTAAATATTTCGAGCCTTTTATTAATTTTATTCACTTAGTAAATTAGTGTTAGGTTTGAAGTTTTTCTTCGTGGTTAATAATTGTTTGAACAGAATTTTTTGCTGCATTTAATAGTCTGACACCACAAATACATCTCAGGGTATAAGTTGAGGAATAACATAATTTGGGCATTTGTTGTACCATCGGTGTAACGCATACTGAAATATTTTATATATAATCAACACTTCGCCGGAATGAAATGAAAACATTTTCTCGAGTACAGTAAGACCCCGCTTAACGCGGGGGATACGTTCCATCGAAGTAGAGCGTAATGCGAAACAGCGCTAAGCGAGGCTATCTTAACATGTAAATAATGGGGTTAGGGGAAGACGGATAAAAAATGGTTAGGCATTAAATTTAATAATGTTTTTTTTTAATAAAAATAAAATCAAACATTTATTTCTTACAAAAATAAAAACAATATAAACGCATATACTTTTAAAAACAATAAAATTCTCAGTCAGATCATTCAGTCTATTCTGGGTTTTCCAATTTTCTGCCTTTTTGTCAAAAAGGCATTATGATAGATTGGCTTAATGGCATACTGCGTTCAATTTCGTCGTCAATCCATATAGACAGTCGTTTTCCCATTTCCTCTATAATGTTATTTCTAGAACGGGTAATTCTAGTTGCAGAGCTTGACGTAGTTGCAGTTGCCGATTGACAGTATTTTTTTCTTTATTCTTAAGAATTGTCCTTATTGTTGAAGTTGCCAAAATCAATGCAGCCGCTAATTTGAGGTTGAACGTTCACCAGAATCTAATCTTCTAATCACTTGCATTTTAGTTTCCAGTGAAATGCTTTTTCTAGTTGGTTGCTTTCTTTTCTTGTTTTTTATTATCACCCATGATAAAAACTAAAGATCATAATATTTGTCACTGTATTAATCGTTATAGTATTATACAAATTTACGTAACTTACAATAAATTTATACTTGCAATAATGTCAACAAATGTTTCAAATGATAAAAATGCGTACAGCACCGTACCAAATCAAGAAACACAACTACACTGCTTCGGATATGTTATTTGGAAACCTAGCGCTGCGCACAATTTCGGAGAATCCCCGGGTTGAAATAAAAGAGCGCTAAACCGAAACAGCGTTAAGCGGGGTCTTACTGTACTTGTTACATGGTATATTCTCTCCCATTATAATTTCAATACGCTTGTTTCATGTAAAGTAATTTACGCAGTTATGAATTGTTGCATGTTCTTTGCATGCAACACGTTTACCTAACTTTCACATGAAATAAAATCAATCCCATTTCTAAAATAACGGATTAGGAATGGGAAAAGACAAGTTTTAAGGTATGAAAATGCATTTTACTTTAGCTTGTAAAATATTTCTACAACTCAAACACAAGTATTAAAAATCTTCGTAAGCAACTGACAGTTTTTATCAAGCACTTTAATTCCATGTTAATCTAAATTTATCATAACTGTTTAATTAACAATAGAATCAGATTTTAGTCGAAGAGTAAATTTCTCATGATCGATTAAACTGAGTCTTGATTAATTTTTCCAATGAGAATTTTTTAAAGTAAAATATTATACACATGTATAGAATGATATATGTAAACCTAATGCAATATTTTTGAGATCGTGTTACGTGTGACTTTATTTTGTTATGTGCTTGCAAATATTCGCCGAATTACAAATAATGTAATGAGAACTGACAACTTTAGGCAGCTTTTTAAATTTAAAAACGTACCTAGTACTCAGTACTTAAAATTTATCTGTGGTATTTTGAGCAATACCGCTATGATAACAGGAAGGGACTGGTCCTTTGATGTAGGTTTTCCTAACATATGTTTTTAATAAAGTTTAAACATTTGCAAAAATATTCCTATCCTATAACCGGATATTTTTTCGGTTTTCAGGTTTTTTTGGGTTAACCTTAAAATGCAAGTGGTTTAATTCTCCGTTGTCAAATTTATCATCGCATTTTGTTTACATTTTGATCAAGCGCAAACTTTCACTGATAGGTATTTCATATTTTGGACAAGATTTGTATTTCATATTTTGGACAAGATTTGTGTAAAAACAAAATCTTCAAAATAAAAATAAATCACAACATACACAGAACAAAAATTAAGACCATTGAAACTTTATATAAATAAACCAGACTACCACTGTGAAAGCAGGTAAATATACACAAACTTTTATTCTCATTGAAAATACTGTTAGAAATTTTGCATAATGTAACATGAACTTAAGAAAGCAAAGCTGTAGTTTCATTCTTACTGTCCAGAAAAATGGAACTCAATAAAGCGCATTTACCCCAATCTTATTTGAATATACGTTTATTTATTAACTAAAAACTTATTTATAACTAAAAATGGATTCTTAATCATTAATTAGGTTTGTTAAAGGAGGAAAGAGGAAAAATACGCAATACCTTCACTTTTATTCAATTTCCGGACCTTCCGACAGCTAATCGAACGTGCTCCAAAATGCCTGATGAAGGCATGCGTTTAGAAAGGGAAAATATCTAATAGGTTAAATATATTTTCCCCTTCCTTACCGCATGCCTTCCTGATTTGTTTCGGTAACTCGTTAATCTAAGCTTCAATTGAGTTTCGACAGAGAATATCTTAGAAAAAATAAAGCATGTATCTCTTTTCTCTCTTCCCAACCACTAAACTCTCAAAAGATTTTAATCTGGACATATATAAAGTGCCTTTATCCTGCAAAGACACTCAATTACAAAGATTGGCGCCTTACCCGGAGTCCGAATCAGAAGTGAATGGCATAGGAGTTAGTTTCCGATAATCGTTTTAGCGGATTTATGGAAATTGATGTCGTTCAGACTCTGCTAATCAATCGAAATGATTAGCGGAACAGCTTGGCATGGAAGAAGATTCAGCCTTGATTAGCCTCACTTCTTAGACTGTTAACTAAGTAAGAACTGCTTCAGAAACAAAGCCATCGTTTGTAAAATGCAGGGAGAGAATGTCGTATAGTCTGATATTTATGAGAAGTTATTTAAAAGATTAAGAAGCAGCGAAATAATAAATTGCATACAGGAAGCCCAAATAAATTTTTCAGCAATGAAAGGCAAAATCTTAATTTACATACCTCGATAGAAAGGTACAGCAGTTTTTTTTTAATTCAAAATGTGTGCAGCAGATATACTTGCAAAGTATTACTGGCGATTTGCGCTTCATAAAATATCCGAAGATGAGGCTGTTTACGATAAACATGTCTATTGGTTTCGATATGTCTTAAGATTTACTTGAAGAATCAGAAAGCTTTAGTTAAGTTTATACAAACGGAAAGGAAGACAGAGAGGGAAAAAATAATTGTATTGGTTGTTTCCATATCATGAATGTCTTCATTTGAGCCATTCTAAAATGTTCATCTTTCCTTTCACAGGATGAGCTACGGTCAGCAGATGAAACCGCCCATGAAGACAAGAAGTCATCGTATTTCCCCGTGATTGCGACAAAAGCAGCAGAGGAAGTTACCAATTCTCAAACTCGTCGCAGTTCCACATCCTCGGGCCTAGAGAGCAAGGTGAGTGAGTGGCCCAGTCTTCCCATCCAACAGCCGCCATCCAGGGTGTCAATGGCGGCCGTCAAGGCCAGCAGTCAAAGTTCCAGCAAGTATGAGGCTACAAAACTCTTTCATCTTTTTCATTCACTTGTTGTGTATCTTGTATGATGTTTTTCAGCAAATACTGAAGAATGGGGTTGTAGCGACATTAGGTATTTTTTGGAAGAAGGCAAGATGAACAATTAGCAACGCCTTCGCCGGGAATAAAACCGCGGACCTCTGGAATACGCGCCCAGCGTGCAGAACACCACATCACGAAGGCATGCCAAGAAGGTGGGGGAAATACTTATAAGGTTATCAGGACTACTGTTTCTTCTAATTTGTTTGGCGAACACGTGGGTGTCCTGAGTAGAACAGTGAGTTTATTTTAAACTATGTCCTTTAAAATTGTAGAAGAGATGACAAAGAAGGGAAGGGTTTAATTACCCTTTATTCTTCATAGTTTACAGCCGCTCCTGCACTTCGGGATACAGAGACCGGTACTTGTGATCTGAACGTAAAAATAAGAACTACAAACTAATTAAATTTAAGTAAGAGCTAAACTCAAATACTTTACAAAGACTGGTAACACTAAGATTGGCCTTTTAGATCGTTACGGTATGTAGTACGCAGAATGCGAGAAAACTACAACACGTCTTCAATATCAAGGGGACTAAATTTCTGGCCAGCGGACAGCAACTGACTGAAAAGCGCGCGTGAAATAAGGTGGCGAGATTTTCTCTCTCTTTGGCTAAAAGCCACAACTTAAATACTTACAGTTTGCAGGCTCAATTTGCATACACCACGTTTATTCTGGCCGGAAGTGGAAAACATAAGGAGACAAGTTTTAAAATAAAATAGACGTTAGTAAAACTTGAAATTGTTATAAGGTTAGCCTTACAGATTCTCATACAAATAAAGGGCAAATGAGCTTGTGTGTGTGTTTGCATGTATACGTTCTAACTCCAAAACATAATTTTGAAAAAAGATTAGTCTTGTATTCACAGTTCAACACCTGAAAGAAAGCTGACCATTAAAAATTTCAAAAAAATGTTAAAATGATCAAAACATTTGATGTGTACACTACAAGACTTCCCTGTATGGAATATTAAATTATACGCACATTTTCTTGCATTTCATTTAGACTTATGTTCTCGAATTTCATTAGCGATATAGTATTTCTTATTTAATTAATTCATTTCTCACTTCGCGACAAGTCAAACTACATAAAAACTCAAAATTTCTACATTAAAAATTGAAAGATATAGAAAAACATAAAACACCAAATACAGTTAAAACAATTAAAAATAACTTTTACAATTAATATTACAGTTACTGCGCAAAAACAAGCAATTAGGCCAGTGTGCAAGAAGGCAAATTTTTCGGTGCGCAAAACTGAAAGTTTACATTTGGTCTCATTCGGCAAAAACATACTGAAGGCGTAGAAACTGACTTTATTTGTTGTGGACGCTATGCTCAGTGAATATATGGGGTAGTTTAGTAACTTAAATGATAATTCCAGAATGGATTAAGCATGATTTAATTCTCAATAATAAAAAGAAGGCGTTACTTTGCTGTTGCGAAGCTTAGTTTCTCTAGATTGGCAACAAATCCATTATTCTGCTAAGTTTCAAATGTAAACAAATATGGCTTCTATTGTAAAAAAAATAGGCTTTGCTGCACTTAAACAACTTTTAAATTCAGAAGTCAAACAACAAAAATCAGCGTAATATTTTCAAATTTTCACAGGACTAGTTTCGATGGTTTTACCGAATCACCATCCTCAGCTGCAAAAGCGCAAATGAACGAGATAGGATATAACGATTACATAAGATAAGAAAGCCTGGACAGAAAATAAGCTAGTAGCGCCTTCTGTTGAGGAAACCAGAACTAAAACATAATTTCTTTAAAGACCGAAGGCAAAGATGGATTGGAATTAGGATAGTTAATTAGAACAGAAAGATTTTTTTGAATGTGAAATGTCTCTAGAAAATCCAGTTATCCAATGGAAGATGTTTTAAAAAATATAACGCTGATTTTTGTTGTTTGACTTCTGAATTAGTATTTGCTCGGCGTGTTATTGTGTCTTAACTTTTAAATTGTTGAAAATTCTATAACTGTAACATGCAGGTTAACTAAAGGATTAAAAACCTTAACCGGGAGATAAGAACAACATAATTCAATCAGTTTAAAAACAAAAAGTTCAAAATATACCAACATATAAGAGAAAAAAAAAAAACACATAAGCTCACTGAATCGAGTAACAGAGTGGGTATATAGATATATATATATATTTATATACTCTTGTTGCAGCCGATTGCAATCAAAAAGGAGGGTGCACAACTACATGTTATAGTAGGCTATATACAAAATTTCAACGTTCTGAAGCTACTCGTTTTTAGAGTTATATGAGATATATACATACCTACACACATACGTAAAGACGCTACGAAAAAATATCTTTTGAATCCATTTTAAATCAGTTTTAAAATTCCTAATATATATTGAGAAAACGAGTCCTTTATTCTGTTCTTACGTACAGATTTCACTCAAAAACATCGCTAAATTGCATTCGATAGCGGTCAAAATAGATATTTTCGTTGAAATATGGTACCCGGAATTTTTCGTGATTACGATAGTTCCTTTATTTCGTAGAAGGAAGTAAAAAGCAAATAATTCTGCTGTAGTTACGTAACATATGACTTTATAAACATCTTTTATTAATTATGGGAAAGTTGGAAATATTCATAAAAACCTACTCCTTGAATACATTGTGGATTAAATGCTTTTTAATTTATATCATTTAGATATATTATTAAATAAATAAAATAAAGATTTAAATTATTAAGAACTACTGTTATTGCTTTTAAACTGCTCAGTCTATAAATAAATCAATAACGGATTAACTAAAGATAAATTAAATATCTTTGGCTTTGGTGAGTACTTGTTATATGTGAGAACCTATGACAGATAAATTAAATTATGTTTTGCGTAGTGGCAACACACTGCTTTTAAATTGCTTAGTTTATTTATCAGTTACAGACTAGTTAAACTAAAAATATAAATTAAAGATCTCATACTTTGTTGAAAGGCAACATTCTTAGAATCCACTGTGCACGAGTATGTTTGGAAAATAAATAATTACAGATCTTATACTCCGTACAGTGGCAATACTTGCTAAGGACTGCTTCTGTATCCTTCCAGTTTCTCTCATCCGTCATATTTGCCAGGACAAGATTATATATGATAAAAGAGCACAACAGATGCCCTCCGAAGTATAAAATTAAAGAAGGAGGGGAAAAAAAAAAGAATTTCATGTCTTTCAGATATCTGAGGCTTATTTTATATTTTTAATATACTTATTAATCAGATGAATAAAACGGCATCATACATTAGATAACTTCTAAATTACATTATGACATCATTTTTGTTACAGTCTTACGTGTAAAATTTTACAGCTGTTAATAACAGTTATTATTAGTATGGAACCTGTATGTATGAACATAAGATTTGGTACATTTTTTCAGTATTATACCAACTCGTTAGAGTTGAATTTATGTGATTACTAATTCTAACTTGTGAAACTTACTAGCTTGCTAACTTTGTATAAATCTCTGTATTAGTTCCGAATTTATATTGCTAAACCTAATACCAATATAGTAACTTCGATCTTCATGTAAATTCGTACGCTTAATACTAAGGATTTTCATGTATTATAATCTATTATGTCTATTTATGGTGAATTTGTATGCATTGAACTCTAAATTTTTAAGAACTAACTCCATTGCTGAATTAAGATATTTCTTGCTGAGTAATATTTGCATATTAATTTCAGTTTTAGAAGACATGATCGCTCAGAAGAGTTAGAAAATAGTAATTGTTCGAAGTGAATTATAAATGAATGGTTTAAAAGGTACCAAAAAATGAGTATTGCTTGTGCAGAAGTTGTAAATAAGAATTTTATAACATATCTGTAAAATATTTGACAAATACCAATATATGAAATTGAAAAAGAAATAAAAGAACGAAACACAATTTTCTGTAGAGTTCTTTGTAAATATACAGTTATTGAGAAATGATAATAATTAGAATAATTAGTTACGAATTTTCTTACTGCTTAAAGGAGAATAACATTTTAGCTCTAATATTCAGCATACCCCAGAGGCCACACGAAACAGCCTCTTATTCATGACAACGGTTCCGAAAGTCACTCACATAGAACAGTGGTCTCTAGAACAGTGGAAACTTAAATTACATGCGGGCTGAATCCCGATTTGAAAACAGCTGATGGGCCAGAACTTTTATCCTTTTTTAACAAAATTAAAAATTTTTATTAGCAAAATAAGAAATATTTTAAATAAATTTAAAATTTCTTTTACTAAGTATTTATAAAAAAATACACGCACAATAATAATAATATCCAAAGAAAAAATTGAAATTTATATTTATTTTCTGTTTGTCTACATGTCTGTCTAATGTGTTAGACATTTTTGTTCATTACACTTCATAATTCAAATATAATGATAGCCAAATAACAGAAAATGGAGTTATGCGAAATATTATATTTATTTCAAATAATTATAACATGTTTTGATAAATATAAAAATAAATATATTCCCAAACAACGCAATTATTCTTAGTTCAAACATTCATAATCTATCTAACCTATCTATTTTTTTACCAGTATGAATAAAAGTCAATCAAATTTTTATCTTCAAATCTTTGACTAAAATTTATATCGCACTTTAAACTAAGATTTTCTGGTGTGCTATCTATGTTCCTTTGTTATCGTAATGAAAATAACGCAGACTTCAAATAGCGAAATCTAGAAATCTCTGCAACACCGTATTTGCTTCTAATATATTTTTAAAATATTCGTAAATAACTTCGGCAATAATAATAAACATAAAATATAACTTCGGGGCCGCCATTTTGAGACCATTAGGCTAGAACAACAATGCATTCTCATCCTCATACTGCCCAGATCTTGTCGCTTACGATTTTCTTTTCTCTTAAACTGTGTGAAACAACAAGATCATGGCAGTTTTCGGTCGAGGTAGATCGCCGCAGTGAGGGTAGTTGTATCGATTTCCGTTTCTGAATTCCATGAATCTTTCTAACAGTTGTATTAGAGTTGGAAGCATTGCATTCTGGCCTGTAGTTATTATAGTCATTTATCAAGAATGGATATGTATAACAGGAACATGGTTTCAGATATGTGTGAGAAAACCAGTTTGAGAACTTACCGATTTTAGATATATTATAGGGTTTGCTTGTACGGAGGGTTAATTTGTATATTATATTTTTAACATTTATTATTATTAGTATTATATATATATATACTATGTATAATTCCAATTTCAATGTTATTTACCTTAAAGATTAAGATTACAATAAGATTCACTATTTTTATACAAGTGAGGGTGTGGTAAAGATGCTTTTATGTTTGCGAGTTCTATTTAGAACACAGTAGCTTGTTTTCAGAAGTTACCGTAGTGAAAGCACTCAAATTCTTCAATAATTTTGTGCATCTTCATTTCCATACTGTATAGTTTTTCTTTATGGTCAATATAACTTTTAGTTTCGCCAACAGGTTATCAATGAAAACTGCCAGCCAATCATCTATCGAGCTTCCGCCCATACAACCACCTCTGCGTGAAGAAGAATACTATACAGCTGATGAAGACAATGGTGAAGGTATTTATCTATTATATCAATTTACTTTAAACTGATATCTTAAATTTATTCTTTTGAAAAATTTAATACATACTTTGCGCAAAATACGGCTGGCTCCATTTTATTGAATAATAATAACTGAAGCGCCAAAACATGAGATAGCTTTATATAAAGTATAGATCATCTCTACTCCCGAATAACTGCGACTACACGCTGTGCATCAAGGCAACAAGTATTAGAGCATTCATTGTAAGGCTATCTCAAGACAGCAGTGTTCTATCGTTGCCTATATCGTCAGAAGTTGCAGAAGGGCATTTAGTGAAGTCTGCATACTGTGTCATAATTGTTTAGCATGATTTTAATTCACCTGTTATGGAGGAATCATATCTAGAATTCTCATTAGCCAGCTGTGTACCGTCCGTATGTGATTAGGTTTACATTATCCCAAAGGTGCCATCCATCACAAGGGGAAAACATGGTGCCTCATCAAGGCTGCAAATAAACGGCAATGAAATCTATGTATTTCGCTTTTGTCAACTGCTACGATTACCATTACCATTTGCAGTAGTGATCTTTACCATACTCTAACATAATACTATACCCCACACCACAGAAGAGCCACACAGAATCACACAACATTTTGCTGACAAGATGTACAGCATAATAAAAATAAGCATAATAATATTCCGAAAAAGCAGCATCGAAACAGTCAGCAACCATGATTCAGATGATTAGATTACGTAGCACTAAGCATCGATGGCTCAGTTACCATGTTATGTAGCCCAGCTGAAAGCCCATTTATACTAGCGAAACTTCAGAGTCCAATAAACTTGCACGAACTCGACAGCTTTTTAATAAAATTAGTTTCATGTACTGGGACATTTCTATTTTTGAAATTTTGAATAAAATTATCGCTTAGGCTGCTTATTTATTTTATGCAGTAAATACTTAAGTACTTAATTTTATTTTTGAGTGACTTTTCGCCCTTTGCTAGAGTCATAAATTCGCGATGCTTTCTTACGCTGACAGTTCCGGTAGTGTAAATGGGCCTTAAGACATATTTTCCCATGCCGTTGTGATATCTGTGGGCCTATGCCAACAGTGATAACTGCGTAAACCAATGACTACTAAATTTGTATAGAATGCAATGTTTCGTTAACACATTAACAGCGCTAATATTGAACTTGAACGGCTTTGGCATGAACAGCGCTAATATTGAACTTGAACGGCTTTGGCGTGAACAGCGCTAATATTAAACTGAGTTAGGGTTTAACGTAGTGTATCTTTTCTTAGCATAATCAATAATCAGCAACCTTATACATGGCCGTTAGCCTAATTTTTGCACTTGTAGACGCATACTACTACCTGTATAGTTATGTGGAACCTGTTTTCACGTAACTATAATATACCGGGTGGCCATAATTAAACTGACAGTGCTCACAGTGTTCTGTAGCGCGATCTATTTGCGAAAATGACGCCACATTTTGTAGGAAGATTAAACAAGACGGAGGACTAAGGATTCCGCGAAAAAACAAATTAGTTCCAAAAGTCACCGCTAGGGGAATATTTGGCGCTGTGTAATAGAAAATAGAGTGTTAACAAATGCAAATTAATACAGAATAAAATTACCTTTTATTATGCAAATTTTCTGATTTAGTTCAAGTGCAATATGGCAACACTTTTAAAAAAGCGTTAAATCTACATAAACATCGAAGTCTCGTTATCTGCAATATCACGTACGCTGAGCGAAAGAAGAAGTTCTTTATTCAAATTTCACGTTACATCCATTCGCACAGTGCCAGCTGCTTGTGTTTTAAAAGGCAATGTGTTACGTTTCGAACCAATCGGACTGAAAGTTTATGTGCAATGTCTCCTTCTTTAGTCGAGCGTGCATTACTGGTCCAATTCTTTTACCTCAACCAGTGCAACGCGTCAGCCGCTCTTCGTGCTTTTAGAACGCACAAAAAAAATTGCGTAAAGATAACGGTCCTGTGTCAGTTAACTCTTTCGCATCGAAGTCGCCCCAAACGGAACGAGAGACGCCCGAAACGCCTGAATAATTTCCTACCCAGTGCTTTCCCCCATCACGTTACTGCATTACTCATTGCTTTCAGGTGTTGTTAAATCACATGTCAATCATTATTTTGAAGGTACTAAAAGTTCCAACTGCATGGCCACCTCGGTCGCCTGATCTTACCCCATGCGACTTCTGGCTATGGGGTTACCTTAAGTCCAAGGTCTATCAAGGAGTGGTCCAGGACCTAACATATCACGGACTGTATGGGAGATTCCTGCAGACATGTTACTTTCTGTTGTTGTGCATACTGTGCACATAATGCAATATGTGGTCCACAACAACGGCAGCTACATTGAACCTCATTTGAATGCAAAATAAAGGGTAATTTCCGTATTGATTTGCATTTGTTAACACTCTATTTTCTATTACACAGCGCCAAATATTCCCCTAGTGGTGACTTTTGGAACTAATTTGCTTTTTCGCGGAATCCTTCGTCCCCCGTCTTGTTTAATCTTCCTACAAAATGTGGTGTCATTCTTGCAAATAGATCGCGCTACAGAACACTGTGAGCACTGTCAGTTTAATTATGGCCAATATTAAAATTGATATATTCTCAGTATGTTGCGGCTATTGTTAATAATAACGAATAAGTAAAGCTGTACTTAAAATTTTTACGTACTGGCAACTCTTAAAACCGTAAAAATAAAGAGATGACTTACTCGTCCCGTTACACCTTTTAAATTCAGTAAACACAAGTTCGGATGATAAAATAAACCTGTTTATTAGCATGTCAGACGAACACTTATACAAGCTATGCGACAAGAGAACTTAACAGTTGTTACTTGTAGAAAACTTAAAACAAAGGATTAAGATTTCTTTTATGCTAGAGACGTGAAAAATGTGCATTGCCCTGGTCAGGATTCGAACTTCGGATTACGCGCCGAGCGTGCTTCCCGTTACACTGAAAATGAATGCGGAAAGGGGAGAGTAAATACCCCATATACTCCCTCTTTTAAAGGCCGATTGGGGAGTAGGGGATCCAATCTCCAAATCCTGGTGGTAAAGAAACGCGTGTATCCAAGGCAACAGACATGCAAATATTATGAAACGAAACACAGAGTTTTCCTACTTCCTTCAGCAAATGATCTCAATAAACTGAAGAAAAGAAAGCTGTTTTACGTAAATTTAACGACAGAGAATTTTTGAAAATTCATTTTACTCCACAAAATATTTTTAGAAAAGCTAACTGATATTAAAGTATGTATTTGTTTCAAATATAGTCTCGCTCCATTCTTTTATTAATTCTTTAGAAGACGTTGAGTACATTTTCATTAAGAATTATTTTTTTCAGTCCATGACAGAAAAAATACTCCTCGAATGTAATTTTATGCATTCCATATTCATATCCAACATAAGATATATTAGTTGCTTTATTACCCATTAGATCATACTCCGAATTTGTGCCTCATTTCAAGTGATACATAAGTAATATGTAAATTAAGGGTTTGTGGAATTCCCTTCCAGTTCTTAATAGTACCTTTATCACAGTTTTATGCGATAGACTGCTTTCGGCTGTATCTTATTGTAAAAATACAACGTTTTAAAATCAGTTACTGATAATATTTGACGTCACTTCATTCCTTTACTGCCTGTGAAACTTAATCGCAAAAAACTTGAACTTAATTTCATAAACCGCTATGATTTCTTATTCAGATCTTTCAATATTTGAATAATAATTTTTTAATCTATGCTTAACCTATTTTTTTAATGTTATTTCCACATCATCATGTTGTAGCTCACTTGCACATTTTGAAAGTAAAAAACAACTCTGCTAGCCGTATGGCTGAAGCGAAGGTAATTCTGTATTGCATGTGTACACAGATTTAATGCAATTTAAAGACGATTACTAAAGTTGCCCACAAATTTACAAAAAATTATCTAAAAAATTCAGAATTTTGAGTATTAAGAAATTTCTAACAATTTGATAGTATGAAATATTCGTTAAACAGAAATGTTTGGTTTAACTTTCACGTAAAGTGGAAAATTGCCATTAAAAATCGTGAACTGAACCTGTGTGCATTAAATCAAGATTTAACTGTACAGGATGTCTCAGAATCAACAAACTTTCAGAGGGAGGTAATAGATATTGATATGAATCATATTTACATAGGAAATCATTATTTGACATACCACCTGCAGAAAATTGAAGAGACAAAAAGACGTAGCAAAAATATTATGCAGAGAGTAATGTAGTGTATTTAATTAGACAAAACTTACCAGCACAGCAACTAGTAGACCGAAAATACGGTTTCATAAGAAGTGCTCCAAGTTTCGACCATTTGCAAGTGACGTATGCCTGACACCGAACTTGCAACCATTGTCTAGTATTTTCAAAGATACCTAGAATTTTAGTAGCAAAGGTGGCGGTTCTTCCCACGAAATCCACGTCATAAGCAATGGGCGTTGTGTACGCTGTGACCTTGGAGGTTCTTCATAGAAGGAAATCGATCCTAGATTTTCGGTCATTTTTTTACATGAAAATAGTTCAAAGCGATGCCTTTCGAACTCCCTTCAAATTTTGTAGCTAGGGGTTTGAGACTGTCTGCATATATTCAAAAAACTAAATCTTAGGCAATACAGTGTGTGAAAAATTTCGTTCTAATATTTAAAAAATTGAAATTAAATGCCTTTCATTCTCGTTTTATTTCTTAGAAGCCTCTGTGTGTGGTCTGTCTAAGAGTTGTCTCCGCGGAATAGTGCTGCATCGGGAGAAAAGATGTTCGGTGGCAATGACTGATCTGCTGAAGGAGGAACAATTAAATTCATGCCGCAAGTCATTCAGCAGCCGTGATGCGTCCAGTGATGTGAGCCGATCCTTCCGTTCAGAATCGGTAGGTTTCGTGCTAGGTGGTGATAGTGAGGAAGAGAACGAATTCTATCGTCCCAACCAGCACGAAAGGCTAGAGGATTTCAGAAAACGAATCCGGAAAAGGACGCGTAGACGGCTGTCCAGGCGGAGCAGCAGGAGCTCTTATTCGGGTTCGAGTGGTAGCAGTGACATGGAGGACATCTCAGAGGATCCGGAGTTACCGGTTCCTCAAACTCGCATCATACGACCTGCCAGTTCTGAACCATCCATTATCACAGCTTTGGATGAAGGTAAGTTACCAAGGGATTTCGGTGATATTCAACAATATCTCAAGTAGTAAAAATATGTATTTGTGCATTATGCAGATGTGTAATTTAGACTTTAGACGCAATGCAGCATGAGTATTCATGTTCAAAGATCGTGCAAATGTTTCCTTCACTGCTAAGCTGTCTACTGTTATTCATTGCATTATCAGCTTCCCATAGCTGTTACAATTTTGCTATTTTATCTATGATGTGATATGTTTTAGTCTTTCCTCAGGATCATCTGTAGTAAAGTCATAACTAAAAAATGGGCATATAACTCCATTTATTGAATAAAATTCAATATCATAAATATTTTGTATTAAATTTTAAAATTACTAAAGAAAATTTCACTTATTTATTTATTGTTTAAGGAACTAAATCTGTATTCTTAATTTTTAAGTAATTAGATTTTGAAGTCCAGCTATATTTTCATTAATCGAATGATTTTACCATATTTATTTTAAAGATCTTTCTGGAGAAGAAAATTATGGTAGAAATTAACGAAAATTTAACACTTCTTTACAATTTTATGTATAAGTTACTTTTAACATTCGATGAAGCTGCTAACTGTTGTTCTAAAATTGCTTTTTTATTTCATTTTCCATCACTTTAGATAGATAGTTTTGTTAGTTGAGATTCTTTCGGTACACCGGAGTAAATTTTTTTTTTTTTTTACTTGTCAATGTTTTTTGAAACTAATCTTCAGCCAATGACATTTCGCACTTCTCCTATAGCTGCAACTACCCCTTTAGACTTTCCGCCCTTGTCCCCGGCGGCAGAGACGGCCCTTATAACTTTGGGTGGCAAAAAGATGATGGTGACATCCAGCAATGGCCATTTAAAGGCCTATTCATATGACGGTGTAAATCCGAACCTGCCAGTGCCTTTCAAGGCGAAATTCAGGAGACGAAGGCATCATTCTGAAGAAGGAGACAAGTCTTTTGACAAAGATTTGCTGTGGTCGGCATCCATGATGGAAAGATGCAGTAGCACAGAAGATCTTTCTTCATGTTCTGGTATCAAAAATGAGGGAAGTTCGGTAAGATTTCACAATAAAAAATATCTATATACTAAAATTTTGTCATGGCACAAATTGGTAGGTAGGGGAAAAAAGAACTATTCATAGCCAGAAATGTTCTTATTGCCTCTTACTGATGCCAGAAATGCCTCTTATTGATAACCAGAAATATTCTAGTTCTGTTTCTGTTCCAAAAATGACTATTTCTGTTTCCTTGTCTAAAGCAGAGTTTATATATCTGCTCGCAAAAAAATTGATACGGTTAAAAAAACTCATTTTTTTTCTGCTTTTAACTCTAGCTTTTTAGCGCATTATTTTTATTTATTTATTTATTTTTTTTTTTTTTGTCTTGATTTCAATAGCCGAGAGTTATATCATAACATTTATAAGATACAATTTTATTTGTTCGCATAAAAATTATTTAGAAAAAAATAGAAGCCTCTTATTAGTAACGGAATCCAATGAATCATTATTTTCAATTCAGGGTGTCCTTGTTTTTGTGCCGCGAATTCTTCTCAATAATGGCTCGTTACTTTACTGAATCACTCACGAGAGAACTCTGTTTCGCCCTTGGATCACTCCGCTTTCATTTTATTAAATTTAAAGGCTTTCATTTCCGCTAATATTGCATATTTTACAAAATAATGCGCAGTAGCTTGAATAATAGAATGTAGATTCGTTCAGTGGTACGTAATCCAATTATGATTATGTATAGTTAAAAAATATCTGCCTAATATCTTACTATTATAAGGCGTTTGTTTTTATATTTTTACCCTAACGAAGTTAACCACGTTTTCTCAGTAAGAGCCTGTAATTAAGCAATGACTATTACCTGAACGCCATTCGAATTATATATATATATATATATTTAATAGTATTTAAACAAATTCTAAACAAATACGTATAAAAGTAAAAAGTAGAAAAGCAATTTAAATTCTAAAAAAGGAAAAAAAGCCAAGTAGTATTTAAAATATCAAACAGGTAAAAGATTTAATTCTCGAATAATCTACAATATCATTTAAATTCAAACATAAGCAAATCAGTGTAAAATCTATCCATAAAAATAAATCTACTAATTTATAAATTTAAATTAATTAATTTTTTTTTTTTTTTTAATGCAATTTGAATGATCTAGATTAGGCAGGAGACAGACGTATCACGGAAGGTTGCCTCCAAACCTAACTCTCCTCATTCAATTCGTGTTTCGTCATTATGCAGCAAGGGTAAAAGTCAAAACCAAAAGTAATTCCAATAAAGTGGTACTATCAGTCAATGTTCCGTCTTACTTTCTTTGGGAATGCAAGGACCTGACTCAGAACAGAGAGCTTACTAAAGCTATGTTCAAAATGTGGGAAGATACAGGATACACAGAAGGGATACAAAACCCTTTATTTTCTCTCTTTAAATAAAAGTAGTTCTTTGTACTTCGGAATACAAAGATCCACTACTTGTGGTCTAAACGTAAGATTATAAAAATATAACTAAACTCTAATTTACTTGAAATAATAAACGTGGAAGATTGGCCTTATATTAACGAAGCCGTTGTAGTACAGAGAACTGTTAAACACTACAATACGTTTAAATTATCAAAGAGGATAAACCTCTGGCCTGAAGGCAACCAGCACTGGTAAACTTCTAAGGTAAGCGGCCCTGTTTCGACTAACTCTTCCTCTCTCTCGCTGGCAAAAAGCCACCACTTAATTATTGGCGTTCCAGACAACTTTGCATACGTTAAGCTTTTAATTCTGGCCGAATAGAAATAAAGAGTGATAGTAAAGATTTAAAATAAAATAAACGTTAGTAAAAACTAAGATCCTTCCATACTTCGCCAGTTAATTAGTTTGAAACTGAGGTCTAAACGACCTGTTGAAAATTTTAGCTCTAGAATCTAACGCGAGGCCAGCTTTTACAAACATTCTGACTAGAAACTAGAAATTTAAAAAAGAAAGTTGTTTTTACAATAGCAGCTCCAAGGACATGCAATTTTTTCATCTGTACTGCATCTAAACAGGAGCTTTTATTCAATCTGGCCTTCCAGAGATCTGGAAGGAAACTAGTTTAATGAAATGTACACAAGAAATGGCAAGTAACATGCATATTTATATTTTCTCTAACATTCTTATTTCATTCATGATATTTTAATTATCTCTCCCGTGCTCTCTGACATGTGTGTAAAAGAACACCAAACACGAATGTGTTATGTATACGTGTTTCAACACTTCTCCTACAATCAAAACACTAACATGTTAAAATTCAACATACAAGACCTTGTAACACCCCTAACTCAAAAAAACCTGAGTACTATTCTGAAAGTGGCTACTCTGAAGTGTAGCGTCAGAGAGCCTAACTACATTCATTCAACCTTTAAAAATATCACCTGATTTGGGCTTTTTACAGTCACACGAATAAAAAAAAATTTTTAACATTACTTCACTTTTACCATATCACGGTATTTCTTAACATTTAAAATAACAGTTCACATTGTATATAAGAACATATTAACATGCCGTTAATTTTACGCATTTGAAAACATACATTAGTGTACATTGTTAACTTCTATTCTTTTCAAAGCAAGTGCCAATTCTCTTTCTACATTGAAGTACTACATTTCAAAAAGTCTTTCAGACTAAACTTCTTTCTTGCCAGAATTTTTGAATAAAATTTATACATAACTTTTTACAATATTTAAGTATTACACATCGCTATTATACATCAACTTTAGTTTTACGCGCGAGTAATTGAAAAACATATACCAAATCGGTAACACTCATTTCTCGCCTTTTTGGCGATAAAGGTAGACCTCGCATGAGGTAAAACTTCTTGAAATCTGCCACGTGCAGTAAGAAGAAAGATTAACTTAAGTTTGCAAAGTAACATAAAACTTTTCTTATCTTTGTGACATTCGGACATTCTTTTCACTGCCCAGACCTGGAAGGTAGCGAAGATTCGTCGTTTGATTTATCCTCCCTCTTGTGCGGACTCGCCCTTCAGTTGCCTTCCTGTAGGAAGCTTTCTTTTCCCTCCAGTTCGGTCACCCTTGAAGACCACCTTTTCCGCCTCTGCCTGTGGTCTTGGCCGTTTGATGGCCGCTGGTCATGGCGGAATCGGGAGACTTCTCTCTCGTTCCTGCTTGGATCTCGTTGCTGTCCGTTCAAATTTTCCTTGTAACTTTTCCGCCGCCGCTGGTGGCCCTTCCGCAGTTCGGCGACATTTGCTGCGGAGAGTTCTGTCGGATGAGTAGATCTTCCGTTTTAGAGCCGGGTTATAGTTGCCGTCATTTCTCCTGGCTCTCTTTGCATACGTCGTCCTTCTCCCTTCTTCATTCTGGGGGTGTTCGTGAGCTCTCTTTTCTGGACGGTGTTACGGCTTCTTTTTCTTGCTACCTTCAATTTTTCCGCGGGGAAATTTTCTTTTCACTTGCTCCTGCCTCTTACTGGCTTGCCCTTGTACTTGTCGTTTTTCCACCTCTGGAACTTGTACCTGCGGTGTCTGCCGTGCCGGATCCTGCAAAAGATCTGAAAATATTTGAATTTTATTACGATCATAGTAGGGTTTGATTTGATCAATGTTTGCGGAGCAGGTTTCCCCATTCCTGGCTTTTAACACTACTACAGCGTGAGTTATTTTTTCTATGACATATGGTCCATAAGGATATAAAAGAGTAGAGACCTTCCTTCCAGTTAAGGTTTAAGGTAATGTTATATATATATATATATATATATGCTGGCGTAAACTTCAATTTTATAAATGTCGGTTTCGATCAAAATTTATATAGTGTTAAAGCGACTTTCTTCTTTCGAATCCTGGTAAAAATTTGCTTTTATCTCATTTACAACGAGTCACGACTGTTTTACTTACTTGTCAGCTTCGTTTTGAAATTAGAATTTCTTCTACAAATTCAATAAAATATGTATTTATTTGTTTACTTCTTTAATTTTTATTCTGATATTGGATTCTGTTACTAAATAAATTTCTATGAATAAATATTAACTCTGATTTCCCGAACCAAATTTTCGAACTCCTACAAGCAATTTTTTCTGGGAGATTTCAGGAATGCTTAACTTCTTTCTTCAGAAAATCCATTAATATGAGAGTGAATTGGAGCTTAACATTAGTCAGGTTATAAGATATTTCTCCCGCCTCATTAGCGAGCCTTCGTGGTGTAGTGGTGGTCTGCACGCTCAGCGCGTAGTTGAGAGGTCCGCGGTTCGATTCCCGGCGAAGGCGTTGCGAATTTTTCATCTTGCCTGCTTCCAAAAATACCTAATGTCTCTACACTGGCGCCCGAACTAAAAGAATGATGGATGATGATTCTCCTCACCCAGGATTTGGTAATTGGGTCCCATAAAAACCCCAGTCGCCCTTTAAAAGGGGAAGTATATAAGATATTTTCCCCGCCTTCTTAGCGAGCCTTCGTGGTGTAGTGGTCTGCACGCTCACCGCGTTATTGAGAGGTCCGTGGTTTCGGTTTCTCGGCGAAGGCGTTGCTAATTTTTCATCTTGCTTGCTTCCAAAAATACCTAATGTCTCTACAATGTATTTAGCTGTTTATTTTAGAATTGTTAGTCGTCTGACTGCTTTTGATTTTGCTATTGATTATTGCTATAGACTACTACTCTACAAGCAATTTTTTTATCCTAGGTCTTGCTTGTGTATAAAGAAAACACTTTGCCTTATTTTTTTTTCTTCTCGGCTATTTATAGCCATTTATCTTATCTGTAAGAGTTACTATTAACCAAAATAAAGTTTTAATCTCTTACAACAAAATTACGGGACGTAACAATATGCTATTTTTATATATAAATTTACAAGAATAATTCGCGTGTTAAATGTTTTCCGAAAAACATATTCTCACACTTTCTTAGTTATGATGCTATTCTTCAGTATCTCTCAAAAAAAGTGCAGAATTAATTGCTAGCTAGCTGCAGGCGATGCAAAAGTTTTTTCAGTGAAAAAAAGTTTTAAGTAGCTTTTGACATTACAAAAGTCGTTCGGCTTTATTTTATAATATTCTGGTTAATTAATTATTTATATTTATTATCGTATTAAAGGAATGATTAAATGATATTTGTTATCTTAATAGAATGAATGATAAAATTATATTTGTTATCTTAATAGAACGAATGATAAAATGATATTTGTTATTTTAAATAGAACGAATTATAAAATGATATTTATTGTCTTATTAGAATGAAAGTGGTTGAACGTCTTCTGTAGGATTCTGATTCCTTATTTTTGTTCATTTAGATACTAGATGGCAATAAAGACGATCCTAAGAAGACATCTCCTTCGAGATGGCCGGCAGCTGCCGCACCTTGGACATGCTGCGGAGATGAAGGAGACAGTCAGCTAAAGTCGATCATCTTGTGGTTGGCTGCAAGCATGGCCGAACTACCAGCCCTTATCCTCTACACTCTGCAAGAACCAGCATTAGATGACGTAATGTTCTTTTTAAAAGTAAAACAAATTCTGTGCCGTTTTCAGAAACAACACTTTTCTATTGGATTGTGTCACATAAGTATTTGAAATAGGATCAGCAGTTATTAGATATGTAAACCAAATTTGCATTTTGGAGACACGCAAAATTTTTAATCACCAGTGCACTCATGCACATACGTGAATGATATGATATTCATCTGCAACGTTTCAAGCTGATTTACGCTATCCAACAGCGATTTTACGAAATATGCAATTTATGCTAATTTTTATGTACTTTTGTTGGCTAATGACAAAAGTGAAATCATATTTTTTTTATGATCCGCAGTTATTTTTATAATATGAAATTATTTTCCTTGTTATTGCTTTATTGGCATTAAGGATTCAGTTACGCTGTTTCAACAGGCAAAGTAAGGATAAATAGACAGATTAAAATTACGAATGATAGTACATTGGGGATGAATTTGATGGTTCTAATTGTTGAATTTTTTTTAAAACATGAATATCTTTGGATGGGAGAAGACAATTCTTTTTATAAGTATATTTATACTTCTGCAAACACTGCCATACTTCAAGTTTGTGAACCCCAAAACTTAAATGCGTGACACCTGTGTGTCAACTAGTTACTGTTCATGATATGAGTTAGTAGAATGATCTGACAAATTTCCATTTTTATTAATGCCTTTTAAATTAGAATGAATTTTGAAAATTGTAATTTTTGTTCAAAATTCTTTAAAAATGCCTTCAAATTTACATTTCACAATAAAAAGAAGCAATCAAACTTGAAAATTAATTGCCCTTAAAAATCGTATATATTTGTTTTTTATTCAGTTTCTAAAAGAAATGCGATTTTAAATTATAAATTTTTCCTCTATAGTTATGTAAGCAACTTTTTAGTTTCATAAAATGTATTAATTTTGAATTTTTTAGTCCTAATTCACATCTTTTTTTTGGGGGGGGGACAAAATGCTTGAATCTTTAGAAAGTAAGTGTTCTTACGTATCAAAATAAACTATTACGCAACCACCTTATTATGGACTCTAGAGACTAATAAACCGTTTTTAAGTAATTTCTAATCCAGTTCGCATTCCTGATAAGTATAGAGAGAATGCTGCTAATTATAGGTCATCCGTATTCTGTATTTTATGAAATAAATCAGCTGTGTTTTATTTCACCAACTATAGTAAATATCCTATCGTATTTTACATATAAAACTTTAAAGCTTATGTATTTTTTAATCTAGTGTCTTTATATTATTGAATTCAAGTATGGTATATTTTTACTTTCTAAAGAACTGTTAAATTTATTCCATAAGTTAAGCTGATTTTTGTTGTTTGACTTCTGTATTAGTAAGTTGAACTAACTCAGATTTAACATCTAATGCAACAAAAAGAACAAGATCACGTGTAATTAATCGAAATTGCAGTTAATCTTAATTGCTAATACGCCATAATTTTCCTGTAAAAACATACCTGAAAGACTGTTATAACTAAAAATACCCAACTTTCATAAAACGTAGCTTTCTCTCCCGTAGAAAAACAACAGAATTTCACAACTATAGTGCTTTCAGAGTCATTCATAGATAACCGTAATTAACACAATTCTACGTGTTATATTTACTTACTTCTAAAATCTTGCAAATATTAAATCACACCTAGATTTCTTTTCTGGATATGCGCAGTATGCATTAGTTTGCTTAACATTTCTAACTCTATCTACAATCTGCTATTACACATACTGGAAGAGGTTTCGGTTAAAAGATATTAATAGCAGTTTTATGCTGACTTTTTCTAATTTCCATTGACTTGCTTTGCTTCATCTGCGTTATTCACAGCCCTCTCCTTTTTACTCTAGCAAACCGAAAAATATAAGTGTGCGTGCTGAGAGGGGGAGTAAGAACTATCGAATTTGTTCTGAAAAAGAGAAAAATCGCTAGTTTAGCTGGAATGGAAAATCTTCAAAAACCTGCGCGTATTTCTCATATCAATTAGTTAATTAAATCCTTTTTGTCATCATTATCAAGTAACTTAGTTATCAGTGAAATCTACAGGGTGTTTCAGCAATTCGGTTGCAAACTTTCAAGAAAGATGGAGTACATATAGGCGATGGAAAATCAGATAACAATTGCGTGGTCGGAAACGCTTTCCCGGGGCAGTAGTAATGACACAAAACACAAGAAAGGATGAACAGATACAGGGGATGTTTATTATGCTCGGTGCAGCTAAAAATGTTGGAAATTGTTATTTTTGCATACATTAACAGCCTTGATGTGGGTCTTCACCTGAATGCAACATATCCTTAGCACTGAATGAGCAGGGGTGATTCGATGCATTGACCAGCAAGATTGATACACCTCACTTGCACTGGCTACTTTTTCTGGGATTTTTTCAAGACACTGGTGTCCCCCCCCCCCCGTTAACAGAGCTCATGAACTTGTTGCACGCATCTTGGCAGCTGCTGGGGAAGTTCGGGTCACGCCAGGTTTTTTCCAGAGCATCAGATTTTCCATGCGCCGGAAATGTGAGGCCTGCATCGCGGTCCGGGGTTGTAATTTCGATGTTGTAAAATTTCTTTCTTTGTTGACAATTGTTGTCATTTTTTATTTCATGGTTTCTGCTATACTAAGCATAATAAACATGCTTTTCATGCGTCTCTGTCCTTCGTTTCGTGTGTTTTGTGTTGTTACTATAGCGCCAGGAAAGCGTTTCAACCATGCATTGCTATGTGCTTTTCCGTCGTCCAGATGTACTTAATCTCTTCTCAAAGTTTGTAACCGAATTGCTTAAACACCCTGTATTTTGATTTGAGCACTGAAGTTTTCATATTATATCCGATTTTAATTGAGTTTTTCTCTTTCACAGATCATTTCTGTATATAGCAAAGTGTTGAATCGAAAATGGACAGTGGGGGATTTATCTTGCGAAGTTTTACGCTTCTGTCGCAATAGGATCTCACCTAAGCGGAAGATTGGTTTGCCGCCCCAGCTTTTCAGACAACTCATCGGTAGTGAAGCAGTCGCAGCATCTTCGCTCTCTTACAATTTGAGTCAGCAATCTTTGGACTAATGAGGATTGCTCATTCGTGTTTGTACATATCAAACCATCTGATGTGTGATATGTAGTTTAGATTTAAGTTTTATTTCCCTAGCTACATTTACCTCACTGGCTGAACATTTTGTATAGAATTTTTAAGCCGGGCAACTTGAAGATTCATCTGCTTTTAAACAGTGTTCAATTTCCAGCCAAAGTTTTGTGCTCACATGATAAAAAAATTAGCAATACTGTACCTTTGAAAGCTATTTTTGTAATAAATCCGACACACTAACTACATACTGAATTCTTATGTTCTCATATGTTCTTGTTCTATTGTGCTTCTACTTCACTTTCAGAAAATTTCAGATAAATTCTGTATTCGTTTAGATACGTAGCGGGAAAAAACATTCGTTTTGCATATTATGTATAAAATTCAAACAAAATATTACAAAACAGGTACGAAAGGAATCTCGATTCCTCGAAATTTTATGAGAATGATTTGCTAATAGAATTTACGAAAATAAATAATATTTGTTCTTATTAACTATCACCTCGCTTAATTGTTTGGCTTTAGAAGTAACTAAAATACTTCTTTTTTCATTTTTAAGGAAAATTACTAATTTAATATCACTTGAAGATATAAAGATAAAAATATTAAATGCTAACATTTACATGTTAAACAATCTTTTGTCAATAAGTAATAAAGCTGGCTGTCGTTTTGCGCTGATGTGAAATCAAGCGAGTGAGGAAAAATGAAAAAAAAAAAAAAAACGTTTTAGCATTATTTATAATATACTTTATATTATAGAAAATCTTTATTACTAAATCATTGATTTTGAATAAAAAAGGGGTAAGTAGAACAATCTTTGCAATTGGATGCACTTTGTAAACTTGAATTTGCTGTATTGGAATCGACTTGAATGATAAAATTTGCTTGTTGAACTAAGATTGTACATGGGATTTCATTCGTAGTTTTTGCCCTTTCATTGTCAAAAAGGCAAGATCCAAGTAGTATTCCCTATACTTCAATATCTGTACCATGGAGGTAAGAAACTTCCTACCTCCATGATCTGTACACTGTGGGGGGGGGAACAGTACTGTATTTTCCATTCTACTGGGCGAATTGACGAAAGTTCAACTTGCGTTTTTCATGTCTCGAAAGCGTGACTTAGGATATATATTAGATTTATACATAGCGTTGTTCTCATATGGGCATTTTGACCCAAAGTCCGATTTTTTTGTAAAATGACATGTCCATTTTTTCCATATTTCGATTCTAAGACTCAAATTATGCCAAACTACTAAGTTTTGTAAACAATCGCAGGAGTAGTTTTTAAAAAATTAGCTTTCAAAATTTTAGCTCCTCAATGTTAATTGAATTTGATATATATTTATAAATATCTCTTTTATTATTAAACTCAAAAGTAATAAATCAAAACATCCTAATGAGATTTCAAAATCAAAGTTTAAAACTAATAGACGATCTGCGCAAATTGCTGCAGTCTCGAAAAAAAAAAATGTGATTTTTTAAAAGGAAGATCAAATGGTCTTAGTTAAAATGCAAGTTTGAAATCCATACTGCATGCGGGTCCTAACCAGTTTTTACTTCGATTGAAAGTTGTACTCAAAAGTAGTATATGAAAAATTAAAAATTAAAAAAATGGAAAGCTTTGCAATTACATAAGAGTAAAAATTAAAAATAAATACTGATCTCCTGAATTCAACCCTTCAAACAGAACTTGTCAAAGGAAAAGTGTTTTGAACCCCCAGAACCAACTTGATCAAGACTAAAATTATGCCAAATTATTCATGATTTTTTTATAAAACTTGCATGATTCCTTCTTCTAGAATTTGAAATTTAGGCTTAATCCAAATATAATTCTCACATTTTTTTATGATTTATTTTTTAAATTTGTATTTTAAAATATTTTTTATAAATTTTTCGAAAACATTTTTGTGTTATAACCCATAAAATTTTTAACATCGTCTTAAAGTAGGTGTATTTGTAGACATACTTGTAAATATTTAGAGTTTTTTATTCAAAATTTTCTAAGATATACACGAATTTACATATTGGAGCGTTTTTGAAATTTCGCATCTTTTTTGTGAGCGATAATAACGCCAAATGTGATATACGCACTTTGTTAAAATTATTTGAAAGTATGAACGATGACTTTTTTTTCCGTTCGTCTACAGTGAAAAAAAAGAAAAGGAAAATAGGTTGGTATATATTGAGAAGTTCGCTATGTAAATTATTCTTGGCGAAAACTGGAAAAAAAAAAAAAAAAAAAAAACGCCAAGATAACTTTTTGAATTTCTCCGTAAATTTCGCACCAAATTTTACAAAATTCAATATTTAGGCATAATTTGAGTCGTAGAATCGAAATATGGAAAAAAATTGGCATGCCATTTCAGAATATATCTGATTTTGTGTCAAAATACCTATGTTAGAATGAAGCCATATATAAATCTAATACATATTCTAAGTCGCGCTTTCGAGACATGTAAAACGCAATTTGAATTTCGTCAAGGCCCAGTAGAACCGTCCTTTTTTCTTTTTCTTTTCTTTCCCCCCTTTTTCCGTCCTTTTTTCTATGTTTGATAGTATACATATCAAACTGAACACGATTTTCAGTAAGCTATAGCAAAGATGAAAACTTTGATGTCTAAGGAGCCGTAAAATGAAATTTTAATTAAAAAAATCCCATATGTTCTTTAAAGAAACGATAATTTAATTTTGTTACCGAGTTAACAGTGCTTCAGTACGTTATTACTGATGCCTGTTTATAAAGTATACAGTATGTTTTTTAAATTCTCTTTATTACACATGCACTGTTTCATAGCTTTAAATATAACGACATTATAATACTCAGCAGCATTTAAATGCCGGAAAAATACCAGCTGCTGCCATTTGATTTATATTGTATAAAAGTTTTAATTTACGCGGGCTCCAGTTACTCTTGCTAGTCATCTCCGATGTAAATTGAGTTTATTTGTATTTCAACCTAATATGGATGACATTCTTATGACAGCTCTTTGGGATGTCATTTCAGAACTATGAAGGATATCGAGAACATATGGAAGATGATCTGCGAGATAAAAACAACCTTATTGACTTTCGAGGCAGGCTTTCCGACACATGTAAGATAAATTCAGTTAAAAATTGTAATTAAAAAAAAGTGCTGCCAACAGATATTGTTATTATTGACATTGATATTATTTGAAGCAAAACTGAAATTTTAAAGAATTTAGAACTTTTAAAGAAATATTTCAAATGATTATTATTATGAAAGCAATTTTCTTAATAATAAAACTGTAATCACTGTGATTAATTCAGTTAGTTAAATTAAGCACCCATTTCATTTCCTATTTGTATAGTTTATTTTCATCAAAAATTGTTAAGTAACACCTTTCATAAGTTACATTTAAATATTTAAATAGAAGCGTAAGCTTAGTTACAAACATGTAGTTCAATGGAAGAAAACTTTAAAGAAGAAAGAATTTCTTTTACTTGGGATTTAAGGGACTTAAAAAAGTGACCTGTTTAATTTTTCCAATTCTGCTTCTTTACTGCTTTTTACTTCTTTCAAATTATTAAATGAGCTTTTTGCTTCAACGAGAGCATTCTCAAATATTTTCCTGTAATAAAAGTGTACTGTATAAATTAAAGTGTTGATTTCTAGAAACATATATATTTACGCTTCTAACTATAACATAAATATAACTGCATATTTTGATTAAAAGCATTGCTAGAATTATCGAATCTTGTAGAAAAGGATGCTTAGCACTAAATACTGTGGTTGTTTTTTTTTATCATAAATTCTAGAGACATTAGGTTAATTGGAAAAGCCGGAGAGATGAAAAATGAGCAAACGCCTTCGCCGGGAATCAAACCACGGACTTCTGGAATACCGGCCCAGCGTGCAGAACCACTACACCACGAAGGCACGCTAGGAATGCGGGAGAAATGCCTTATAAAATAATATAAAGATAAAGTTATATTAAATGGTTTACATTAGGGAATTAAATTGGTTTGATTTATCTGATTATAACAAAGCACGCTAGGGTTATCTGCCTAGAATAAGGGATGCTTTCGTTGAGGACTTTCTAAGTGAAACTGGCTCGTACCACCTTACAACATGGTGAAAACTATGGAAACGTCCATGCAGTCAGCCCATTTGCGTAGAGTAGACCTCAGATCAAACTGCGAATGTTCAGCGACCTGTTGATCTCCAATAGTAGCATTTGTAGTTAATGTAGAGAAAACAAATAAACACCATCTTTGAAAATAGTTTTAACTTCTTACTGAATTGCTTTCTTTGCAAAGTTTACTAAAATGAAAGATAAAACTACTTTAATAAAAGGCTGGTCTATTCTTTTACCATTATTCTCATATCCAAAGTAGTCGTCAACTATAGTGATAGGCGAAAGTAATGGTATATAATTGATTTTTAAATATATTGAGTTATTTTATATAGGAAATCAGTCCAATGAATCTCTCGCAAATTAATTAGAAGTTCTTAACATTAGTAGTAACTCTGAATAAAAAATTATCTTCACTTTTTTGTTAATTTTCTAAATATCAGCATACACATGATTTGAATGAACGAAATGTATTGGAACAATTACGATATTTACGAAAATAAATATCATTTACATTCCATTTCTTGCCCGCAATTAACTCGAAGTCTCGTCTATATTTACCAAGCTGTAAATTAGTGATTATTTCAGTCTACTTTTCCTTACGATTGGAAATAGAAGACAATTTCCTACCTCTTATGTAACCCTAAAAAATTACGTTCAGTAATTGGAAGAATACATTCAAAATGTCAGTTCCTAGTAACAAATACTAATATGCATTTCAAAGAGACTTGCAGCTTTGAAAATAAACCCTTAAGCAACCGCAGGTAGAAGTTAAAGAATAGCGAAAGGTGAAGGTATTAAATCAAGATAAAGCCAAATATTCCTTCAGTTGAACTGTAATAGTTGGAGTAAAAGAAAGTTCAAATAACGTGTTTCATCGAGACATTGTCTGCAAAACTTTCAGAATGCTAGTTGCAGAGCAAAAATTCCTAGAAGGTGGTGGTGTATTGGTGTATTGAGAATACGGCAAAGCACACTAGGGCTATCTGCCTAAGGGGAGGGATGCCTCTCGTAGAGGACTTTCTAAGGGAAACTGGCTCGTATACACATTACACATGGGGAAAACCACGAAAACGCCCATGCAGCCAGCCCGTTCGCGGGATTCGAACCTCGGACCGAACTACCAGTGTTCAGCGATTTTACCGCTCGGCCGCTGGTGGGCCAATTCCTAGGATATAAATAAAAGTGATCGAAAGAAGATGTTTTATTTCGTAATAAATCATTAATATTATGTTAATAACTTTTAGCTAATTCATATTTTCAGAAAAACAAAATTCACTCTAATTCTCTTCAGTGGAAAGAATTTAGCTATCAAAAATTGAAAGACAGAGTGCAGAAGAAGAAGACTTAAAATGACACGAAATTATAAAGGTTCTCAGTGAATCGCTCTAAATGACAAGTACGAAGGTGTAAGAAACCTGCACTCATACATAAGTAAATACATAAAATAATGTGTTTGAAATTCTCAGAAACACTTAACTACAAATAAAATTAATTAAGAGTTGTGAATTTTATTATTTCCAGCAGGTCAGTAGCTCTACTATGCAAAATGTCTCTTATTATACCTTTATTCAATGTTTATTGAACATTTATGAAAATAATTTTATGTCAGACTGAGAAAACGGGAATATATATGAATGGGAAAGTGCAAAAGATTTCGTTCGCGAAATGGGAAAATTTCCAGTAAAACATCACAAAATATAGTCACAAAGATGCTAGAACTGTTATTGAGAGTTATGTACTCACTGAAGAATATTAAGCTAAATACTTTTAAACTATTTTGAATTTCTTTTCTTTTCTTCATTTCATTCGTGCTTGTTGCCTTTTGTTGTGATGAATCTGAGACAGTTTTCTAAGAATACATTTGCACAAAATTTTAGTTTAAATTTTTTATTTCCTTTATATTTCCTTAACAGTATATTATTATTTTTTGTTTCCAGAAAAACTTTGTTATTTTGATATTTTTACTGATTATTTTCAAGTAAAATGAATGCGCCAAAATACCATTACAGTTCTGTAAATCGCAGTCAGGAGAAACAAAAGCTCACTTTAGGTGCCTAAGATAGCAAGCCATTTACTTTGCTGAAAGTTATAATTAATTAAAATACTTTTTTAATTAATTTCTTATGTGAGAGCAAAATATCATGTTAAAATGTACATATCTTAACACTGCTTACGAAACTATTCCTCGGGTCCTAAGTTAAAAGTGTTGATTAAACAGAAACAGAAAGTGAAAGATTTAAAACAGAAAGTGAAAGAAAGTAAAGATTTAGTTTCTATTCATTTACAGTAAAGCAATTGTGGGATGTGTGCCTAAAGGGAGGGATGACTTTATGGAGGACTTTCTAAGGGAAATTTGGTTGTATACACATTATACATGGAGAAACCACGAAAGCGCTCATGCAGCCAGTCCGTTCGCCGGGATACCAACCGCGGACCGAACTACCAGTGTTCAGCGACTTTACCGCTCAGCGGCTGATGGGCCGAGAAAGTAAAGAATAAAACCAATTAAAACTAATTATTTCTCATTTTCAGCACACGCGATAAAGCTAATTTTTTTTTCAAAAAACGCTATTTAAACAAAACAAAATAATCGTTCTTTTTTAATTTTGCGTCTTGTGTTGATTGCAGGCATTACCTATGCATCCTAAAGATGTTTACTGAAAAATTTTTAAACAGCAGTTACACATAGTGAAACGTTATTAATAAGTAAAATGGCCATATTAGCTTTTATTTGTAATTCTATGAATAATAATAATAATAATAATAATAATAATAAAGACTACCTATTATGCATAAATTCATGTACTATCTTTAGAACATAAATTATACACTATGTTTAAAAAATATGATTATCTTTAAAATCTATTTATGTACTTACAGAATTACTTTCCTTTGACTCAGAGGTATTTCGATTTCCTTTTGGCTGCGTGGTGTTTGGTACATGATGATGTCATCTAATTCGTTCTTGGCTTTATTCAGAGCGGTAATTGTTTCCTCGTCTATAAAAATGAAAAAAAGAAATTTATGAAAGAAAGCTTAAATGAACCTCATAATTTGATTAGAAGATAAAAGAAGAACTTGATTACAGAATGGGATGTAAATTTTCAGTTCTAGGAGCGATGGAATGTTTTTGCTTACTTTTCAGGTAAAAATTCAAAACTTCTACCATTTATCTAAGTAAATCTTAGACAACAAATGTCATCTTTTATGAACATTTCGTATTCCTAAGATCTTCCTAGAAATCTTAGATGTGAATAAATATGAAAATTCTTATTACCATATTGATTTGAGTTTATATTTAATTGCAAGATTTTTGTACAAGAGAAACCAAGCGATGATAAAACTCATCGTTTTTATTTTCAGAGTAATTTATTTATTAGTTTAGTAGTTATTTGGAAATTATACGCTATTTCATTATATTTTCCTTTTGAAAATACTCCCATTATTTTTTTGACGACTTCAGCTTCTATTTGTATTGAAAAGTGAATTTTTTGTTTTTGTTAAACGTAGCAATAGATAACGGCTTAAAAATTTTTAGGAATCAGAATCATATATTAATTTTAATAATTCACTATCATCTATTTTGATCTTACACACGCTTTCAACTAATCCTCCAATTTACTTTAGAACTGTAGATTAAGAAGTTAACGAATTACCGGTTTTACTAAAAATTCCATAATCTTCTTTCTGTTTTTGATATTAGGATCAAAAACCTTAGAAACATTGAAATACGTGGCTCAGCTTCCTTTTATACTATCGATCAAATCATTCATTAGCTCATTGTTCAATGACGTGTTTAAATTGTTAGTTCTTCGAGCATGAATTTCAATATAATGTCAGCCATATATTATCCCCCTCCTCCCTGTGCGCTCTATTTGCTTATAGGCGTTGTCACTACTAAGGCCGGAAGCAGTTTTCCCTTTATTATGGAGGCATCTAATAAGTGAACCACAATTGCTTCTTCTGAAGCGACGGACAAATTACACCCATGCCTTCTCCGGGATTCGAACCCCAGACCTTCGGTACTGTAGTTAGAGTCACTAACCACTTTCCTGTCTGAGAGGCACATCATAAATTAACATTTTCACAATAAATGTTTCAACAATTTATCAGTTGTAAAGGTAGCCAGCAATCTAAGTTCATTGTCTTCAAAACTATGAATATAAGGTCTTAAATCTATTAGATTCTGTCTTATAGTATTTATGAAAAATATATCAACATAGCTATCAGACTGTTCCTACGTGTCTGAGCGCGTAATATCATCAATTTCTTTGTTTTTGAAGTGTATCACTGTTTTTGTCGATGATTAACGGAATATTTTAACTGTTTTTTGTCTTTTTAAATCAGAGAACTCATTCGTATATTCTGTAAAGATTTTAATTGAGCATCAAATAATTCTGTCTTGTACAATTTCAAAAACATCACGATCATTTTTCAAATCTTTATCATTTTCATGGATCGGAGCGGAAATAAATCGATGCATTTATATCATATTTGATATACGTTATTTAGCAAACTACCGACAAAGTTTTTGGCTATTTGTTTTCATTATATCCTTAACTAAGACCTAATACTTCATTTTTCTTAAATGAAAAGGAGAATATTTTTAGTCTCTTTCTTCAAAGGCAGTTCCTTTTAGCCTCCTGATTATTCTTATCTGTTTGTTTTTTACGACTTCTCAGTTACAGAAATTGGAATAAATCATAGAGTATGCTGTATAACTAAAGCAGGGGGTCCCCCAACCTTTTTGTCCTTAAGAACACATTCTAGAATATCTGTTGGACGGTGGGCACCATTTACTTTTTCAAAGTGAATTTATAGTTGGATAGAGTTAATAATACATGCACATAAAAAAAAAAAAGAAATCGGTCGCATTTCGCGTGTATTTCATTAAAAAAGAGAAAACTTTCATATAAAATTTTATTGAAAACTAAAACATTTTTATTATGATGGTGCAGCGACGGGCTTAAAACCATGTGTTCGATACTATAATTTAACATCCTATGACTTCACTTGCTCAGAGAATTCTGAGAAGAGAAGTTCATTTGCAACTTAAGTTGTATGGCTAGATCGGCGAAACGCTGAGCTTATTTAGATTTCTCTTTTCTGCTGCTGAAAGAGTCGGAAGCAAGAAATTTTTGTAATGTAACTCTTGTATGTAATATAAATACAAAATGTTTCTCATTTAAAAAACTAACAAAAAAAGGTTTTAGTTCAAGTTGGGTCATTATTTATAGAATGATTTTTTATCAAAGTACTTAAAGTTAAACGTACGGAAATGAACGCTAAAATAAAACTTACATTCTTTTCTTGTTTCTTCTATCAAGTTATAAATATTTTCATTTACTCCACCGACTCCCTTAAAAATATGAAAAAATGTAAATATCTATTTATAAAATAAGGTATCAATAAAATAGTTTATTTAAGATTAAAAAAAGGAAGACATTATTTTGAATACATTGCTAAACAACCTCCTGGGGGAAAAAAGTAGAAGATTTATGCTAAATTGTCAAGCATCGCTTCGATTTAAAATGTATAAAAAGATTAATGCTCTGAGATGCGGATTACTATTTTTCTTGCGTTTGTTTTCACATTGTTATCGGATCGGATTCGGGAGATATTTTCCCGGCAAATTTTGCTTGAGAGCTAGAATTATATTGGCAGAGCATCGATATCAGAAGGCGCTGGAAACTTCTCCCTTTGTTTTCGAAACTAAATTTCTTCGTTAAAATTTTCTTCCACACTGTCAGACTTTTTCTAGCAATCTGTCTATTGTCCTTAGTGACGCTTACATATTTGAAAATATTTAGACGTGAGATCTAGCGTGGTCATATATTTTTAGATTTAATTTTCTTAATTATCTCTTTAATTATTGGTAAGGTATAAACGGGATATTTTGTTAGACGATTTAATTTTCTATAGTACATAGCTAATTGCCAGGCCTTAAAATAGATGAGAGGAAGATTATTCCTTTTCCAGCTAAATAGTATAGGGCTAGTGCAGAGACTAATCACGATGATTATTTTGCTTTTCTATATATCAGAAAAGTGGTTTTCTATGATTTCTTCTTCAACTTTATTGTAGCCCTGGGATTTTGCTCTAAATGGGGGATTTATTTCCTGTTTCGATCAAGTGACGCATCATAAGCGTTAACCCTGGGATACTATCAAATGAATTTGAAAAATTTCTTATCAACTTCTGCTCCAATTTTCTTTTTTTTCTAGAGGCAAATTTTTCAGAACCAAATATCACGGGTTTATTTTTTTCCTCCAACTTGTTCATATCAAATCGTACCTGTTACGAATTTTGTATTTAGTTTGATATTTTTAGTAGAATTATAATTAAAATTGTTTTATTTCTCCGGGCAATGCAGCACGAAACATATTTTAAGAGAAAGCTACCGGAAAAGTAAAAATACAGGAGCACGTGTATTTAACATTTAATAAATATAACCTCGTAATTTATATTTAATCTGAATAAATGTGATTGACTTATTTGTTAACTGTAAACGTAATTCTACTCTTTTGCTTACCAGAAATCTCAAAAAGCAAAAATTACAAGAATTTCTCGAGAGTGATTTAAAGCTATAGATTTCCAAACAGAGAACATCTCATCTCAGTTGTTTAGTTAGCTGCTGTTGTTATTGTTGACCGGATTAGCTTTCTCTGCGCTGTGGATTGCGTTCTATTTAACGTTTAACTGATTATATTGCGTGATATTACACCAGTATCTTTGAGGAAAAATCTAGCGTTCTGTTATATTTCTTTTGATTAGAATACATTTTATTAACCTCTTATTGGACTTGTGCATTCAAACTATTACGAATCCGTACTCAGACAACATACCGAATCTGACTAGAATCAATTTTGGTGCCAAATGTTTGTAAGAAACCAGACCCCTGAAAAATTTCTAACCACAAACACACACAAAAAAACAATAAAGACAACGACAACAACAAAACAAACAAACAAAACACTGACTTGCACAAAGTCACTTGTCCTACGCATTCTCAATGTATTCGTTGCTCTGTTATGACCATAGTTCCTGTAACATCAAAAAAGCGATATTTGTTAATATTTTATATTTTTCTTAAAACATGTTTTCGACTAAAAACAGTTCTGAGCATTTGTGGTCAGTAAAGCATCTGACGAGATTCCATTCAAGACGATTTGTAAATTAGGAAGTGAGACATTTTTAATTAATCTGGTACTTCATTGAATCTGAGACGATTCTTTATTTTGGTATAGTTCACTTCTTTCACCCATAACACCCCTACCTAGTTTAAAGGTATTTGCTTATCAACACCCGCTTTCCTTTAATCAAAACTCTTTTCATATTTATCTTGCGATCGCAATTAACAGACGAACAATTTTGTTGGATACCAAAACGTTTTTTCCTATATAGTATATCCCCTGTTTCACATAAAATGTTTTTAAAGTATCCGCTCAAACTGTAGAGTAATTAGGTTAATTGGAAGCAGAAAAGATGAAAAATATGCAACCGCCTTCGCCGGGAATCGAACCACGGACTTCTGGAATACCGGCCCAGCGAGCTACCGTTACACCACGAAGGCAGGCTAGGGAAGTGGAAGAAATACCTTACAAAACTTTCACCAAATTGCTGTCTAATCATATTCTCCAAAACACGGTGACTTTGAGTTTTCAAAGTTAACTCAGTTAAGTTGTTCTAATATACCAGGATTTCTCCTTAACCCTATAAAATGTTGGGGATCGTGCGATAACCTGGGCAGTATTAAATTCAATAACATCCTAATCGGGTGTTTTCCCATACAACAGTTCTAGCACATGGCGTTTTTTATAACTTCACGCATTCTGATGATAACTACGGAAAGTTATAGATCATAATAATTGGATGATTAATATAAAATCCTTACAAGCGTAAGATTCATAATATATTTTTGTGTAATTTTATTTTCATTTTTAAGCCTTATTTCTACATATGTATATCTCTCTTTCCAGGTGATATAGCACACTTATGTATGTTTTCTGTTCATTGATCATAAATAAATATTTACTACTTCATGTGCCTAAAATCAGTGAGCCAGCATTTTATTTTTACCAGTTTCAGTTATTAAGGCAAATAATTAATTGTACAAAGCATACTCACCTTGATCGAAAATGATGAAAGGAAATTTTCTGAAAGACTTTGCGCTTCTTTTTCAAAGTTCTCTCTGAAGGAATTCAAACATGAATGCCATTTTTGATGATAATCATCATCTCAAAGATAAGAGAATTGACAGAAAATTTTTAAAAAATAGAATTAAATTTTTGCAACATAGTATAAATTATATCCCAGAGACAATGAATACGTCATCAGAGACTTAATTATTGTAGTGAAATATTTCACGATATACTTTTCTGAAACAACAAAATCTAAAGTTATCAAAAACAAACATAATTATTTATGGGAAAGAGACGCAATATAAATATGAAACTAGGGGGAAACTTAGATTGATATAGTTTTATATAAAACTGAAACCATCGGAATCAGTGTGTCATCAGGTAAGACTGGCAGATTTAGGAACTACGATAAGCAGATTTTTAGATAATTTTAGATGTAACTAAGGTAGGCAGATTTTCTTTTTACTATGGAAAGTTTCAAGAAATTTTAATACACTAACTGAAGAAGTTTTCTAGATAATTTAAGCAAAATTAAAATTATAATTTTGATTAAGAAACCAACTACTGAAGACTTTTTTATTTATCTTTTTTAAAGTAGGATTCATTTTCTTTAAGACAAAGTTTTAATGCTTTTTTTTAGTCTCTGCGTGTATTAAAACACAAAGGTAAACAATCTTACAAATTCCTGACGAGTTAAAATCTGAACTAGAATCGTTAAGATCCCAAAAGTGAATTTATTAGTAGATGAGAAAATGACTTAAAAGCTTAGTTTGTGGAAAATCCAAGCAATTTCGAAAAATCTAAAGCACTATAAATTTCTCGGCTGATGAGAAAAAACTATTTACGATCGGAGAGAGCATCAGTTCTCAGTTGATTTCAGATTTTAAGCCAGATTATTGAGAGATCAATGTGAGAATTTACTCATTTGACGCTTTTTATATTGTCTTCTATTTAATATTCTTAGTAGTACTGATTATGCCCTATCATACTGAGAAAACATTTGCGAGTCCTTTTGTGAAACGTTTCAGAACTGTAAAGTTTTTCCTTTAGGAAAATAAATTTTATCAAGCTATCACCTGTTCTGTGTGCATTCAATCATTACGAACCTGTAGCCACATAACAAATAATATGAATCTCAGATATAACAGAGATACAAAATGCAATTATTCAAAGCAGGAAATTCATGAAGAACACGAATATTTTTATAATCTAAAAATTATAAACGTACGTATCCTTAAAACACTCTTCATTATATCCTTTGATTTTGAGGTGGGTGGCTGAGACATTTTCACGTAGAACTCGGTCCTTCTCTTCGAGGCTTCAGTATGAAAATAGTGACAAAAGAAACAAATTAACATGTTAATAGACGAACAACTAAATAAACAATAATTGCATATCAGAAATTACACCAGGAAGAACAAGGGAAAAGACTATTTGATTTCTTTATAAAATATTAATATAATAAAAAGGCCAGAAGAAAAAAGGAGGCAGATGTGGAAGAGGCACCAGATACGCCTCCGATTGGCCATCAGATAATGCCTCTATCCAACTAACTACCTTCAGCACACACCGACTGCTGTGAGCATCCGCAGTGAATACTAGAGCAGGAGCCTTGGTACAATATTATTTACCATGCTACAATATGTACTAGGTAAACTGATCAAGATACTTCGTTCTTAGTTATATAAAATATAATCCTAAAACAATATAATCTTAAATAGAAACCTAATTACAGTCTCAAGTACTGATTTTTGAATAAATGCTATGTTCGTAATATAATTAACAGTAAACAAAATGAAATACAGTAATATACTAATATACAGTAAATACAGTAACGTAATACAGTCTCAAAGCATATTTCATTTAAGAACTATTGTAGCAGGTCAACTATGCTATTAGAAATAGCAGTTTAATGTTCTTTTATATTACTTGACATATATTTTTGCATTCACTTGCTAGTTGGCTCATCATATTGTTGATTACGGCTGGAGTTTTCAAGATAAGTCTTTTAAATAAGCAGTTAGCATTTTTAGGATGTTTCAGATGAAAGTCCTGAACCATTGGACACTGGAAGACATAGTGGTCTGAGTCTCCCCTTTCCCCATATATGCAAATGTTACAGGAAGAAATATGTGGAGAAGGAGCCACAACCTGTTACATACTAGGTAAAAAAAAAATTTGAAAACTTATTAGCTTCTCTGAATGTTTTGGAAGAAGTCGTGTTTTCTCATCCTTTCTGCCGCATGAGGGGAAGAGTGATTAACTTAGTTGATCAGCTATGCTGTTTACCGAGAAATGGATTATCGTGTATACGTCTGCCGCATCACATTGTAACGATTATCGTGCCACATCGTGACATTTGCAATGCCGCCCATGATAAAGATAGCACATGAAACATGTATGTCCATAAAAACATGGAAAATGAAATGTTACGAATTTTATATGCATGTGAATAATTCTACTGAAATTATACGTGAAATTGTAATAATTTTTGTATAATGTAACATGAAAAATCTGAAATGGAAGGTCCTAGACATTTCTGGGCGGCCGCGCGTAAACTATATAGTCCCGAAGAGAGCATCATTTCTCAGTTATTAGTTCAGAGTTGACTTTGGAGTACAGAGATCTCCGTAAGAACTTCGGCTTTTAGATGCGCTTTGCATTGCGTTTTGTGTAACATTCTTAGTAGTTTGAAGTGTAACTACAGACTGTACTTTGTGATACCGAGAAGAACTGTACCAGTGCTTTTGTGGAAAGCTCCAGAACTGCAAAGTGTTTCTTTTGAGAGAATAAAGTTTATTGAGCTATTGTTCGTTTAGAATACATTCAATCCATTGCGAATCCATACAAGCAACATTATTATATATGAATTTCTAAAATGGATTCATTACAGCAGTTTCAGATATTGAATAGTACAATTATTTTTCCTACTATTCATTCTGAATTACCTGGCATAAGATAGTTTTACAGTGATTTTCTAAATTTAAACACACGATTACAAACTCAACATAGATAGAAAAGTTATGCTTTGATTCACATAAGTTTGTGCATGAATGTACGCAAGTTGGCAACACATTCATAATTAAAACATTGCAGCAAACAAAATATAGTTAGTTTCATTTAAAATAATTTTATATGTATGCCACATTCTGTACACTATTTTTTTTTTAAACTCTATAAACAAATGAAATTGAAACTTAGTAAAAAATGTGACCACCTCTGACCTTTATACAAGCTCTGCGTGACGTGCCATACCTTCAACTATGTAATCAAGGGCATCGTAGGGAAAAAATGCTATTCATGTAATAAGAGAGTTTCGAACTCTTTAATGTAGTAGCTTCAAGAGATAAAGGGCAGAAACAACATGTCGAAGAAAATCCCAAAGATATTCTACAGGTTTCAGGACAACCGAATATGGGGGCCAATTCTTGTGAGAATGCCTCATCTTCGAGGGATGAATCTGAATAATAATCCATGGACAAACTGCTGAAGCTTATAATCTCAAAATGAAGTTAAGGATTTCACTGCAATAGCTTGTAAGTCAAACTCCTGTAAAGGTCCGGCGGTCGATGCGATTACTCAAATAAAATCAAGGAATACCTTGCAGTGCCAGCATTGAATGTGTTGGTTCAGTAATATTATTGAACTTGTTCCGCATTCGTAATAGACTTTTGCATGTTGATAACTTTACTTCAAATCAGTATCTCAGGTTTCGATGTCTAAAGGTACATAAATCCGTCATGTACCATCTTTCCACATGTAGTATTTGCTACATGGTCCATCAGTTGCTATTAAAGTAAGGAAATCAAAATCAAAAAAAAAAAAAAAAAAAAAAAAAAAAAAAAGAAGTATCTACGCCAAAGAAAATAACGGCATCCTTATCAGACTGTCTTACGATGCAGTTATCTTCTATTAGCCATAATTTTTATTATCTGGGTAGCGTTCTAGCTAATTTAAAGTTACTTGAAGGCTAGAACCTACTAGAACTGCAAGCGACTATTTGTTAAGTTCTACTGGTTAAGTAATAACTACAGAAGAAGAGGTAAAAGTATCCTTTTATTTCAACTCAAATAGATTCACAGATGGCCCCTGTTGGACGTACAAATATTTATAGCTTTAACTTAAAAGTAAAAAACGTAAAACTAAACTAATTCTAAGTTGGATAATCAACCGAAGCTGCACAGAGATATTTAACGCATAGTTGACTCTTTAGCTAATACCATCGACGTAGATTAAGAGGCAATTAATATGCACGGCTTTAACCTGTAGCAAAGGCAGAACACGCTCCGTCTAAAGTAGCTCAGATCTCAGCTTAAATAGTGGTTTCTACCACATTTTGCATAAAGCGTAAAGCTGAGAAACTCATTCTGGCAGGAAAATGTGGGTAGGAAAATGAGGGAGTAAAAGAAAAGGCTGTTTTTAAACTAAAAATTAACTGTTAAGAAAATAAAATAAAATCCCACAATCGTATCAAAAAGTAATCAAAGTTGTCTATCAGAAATTAAAGTCATCACTGCAAAAATTTTAGAAAAATATGTCTTATACCCTACATACACATACACCACTAGTTTGCATATATGTGATTTTACATATCGTAATTAACTTTTGGAAAAGGACTTAAGGAAGGTGAAAGCAACAATCAATACCTATAAATTTATAAATAAGAGAGGTGAAAGCAACAATCCGTACCCATCTTTTCAGTTACAGGATCAGTGGCGTAGCAAGGGGAAGGGGGGCAAGGGGGTGTATGATGCCGGGGCGCCGCTCGCAGAAGGGCGCCAAATGGTCTACAAACAAGATTTTCATCATATCACTGTGTTTTTTTCGGGGAGGGGGGCACCAAAAATGTATTTTGCCCCGGGCGCCAGTTATGCTTGTTACTCCATTGTGGAGGGCTTAATTTCTAAAATTAGAAGTGCCGGAGTCCTATGAAAGACCGCCAGCAAAGAGGAACAAAAGTAAATAAACAAATCAAATGACTATTAAAATAATTAATAATTTAAAAATTTAATAGTTAATTATTACGAAATTATTCATTATTTAATTAATATTTTTAATTATTATTTAATTAATGATTATTATTTAAATACATAAATTGAATTAATTATTATTATTAAAATTGTTAAACAATCAAAGATTAAAGTAATTAAATAATTAAATTGAATATAAAGAGATAAATTAAAATTTAATAAACGATTTGTAATATAATTTTATTGCAAAAAATAAAATTTTCGAGATCAAATTCCTACTGAAATTGTTGTTCAGTTACATAAAGGAAGCGCTGGAGCCTTCTGATTTAGGGCTTCTGTGCGCTCCGACTAGAATTATGATTTATCCCAAAAACTAAGAAGTACCCGATCCGGGCTCTGGTGTGCTCCGGCCCAATTTAAGCGCAATCTAAGCCGTAACAAATTAAATGGATTGATAAAATAGATCTCATATTTTTCTTCTTTCGTTTCTTAAGAACAAGTTAACCAGCTGTTAGTTTTAAAAAGCAAATTATTTCGATATACGCAGAAAATTATATTTATTGGGTTTTTTTTTCACTACTTGTTCACGTTACTTTTGTATTCAGCAAGAGAAGTAGGAGGTACTTACTTTTCGACTTTTTTCAGCAGCTTCTGTTCTTGAAATTCACAAACTTTACAGGATGCTAATACATATATAATATAAAAATTCATTTATTATACATTTTAAATCTTCATATGAAAATGCGCGAACATCTGCAATGTCGTATTACACAGTTCTGAGTACTATATAGAACACAGAAATATAACATTCATCTACTCATCTGGAGGGTATAAAAACAAACGTGTCCCTTTAAATTTCGACAAATAAAAGGCTGTTTGAATACCGAGTGATATGGATGATGATGATGTGTTGAAACTGGGTCGAAATGAGATCAAGTATTTAACTAATTCTAATGCGCTTGCGTTCTAGTTTTCTTTTACAACCACAGTTCTTATATTGTGCTATTTATGAAAGTAATTAATTGCGATTATTCGTACCGTGCATTAAAAACACAGCACAAGAAACCTTGAGAGCTAAAATAAAGCATCATATTCAGCCACCTTTGAAAAAAAAAAAAGATTGATAAAGAAAACTACAGATTCCTATCTTATGTTATTAGATTTCACAAACACTGCGCTTTCTGTAAAATCTAAGTTCATTGAGAATCCTGCGCGTGAAACGAATAAGTGTATCAGTATGCATTTTTTCGATTCCTGTTTCTGTATATAATTTTCGAAATATATCTCAACTTTTCCGTTATTATACTGAAATTATATTTTATAATAGTCGTAGTATAATCCAAGTATTTAATTGAATTGTAATAACATAAGTACTCAGTCTACAATTGTACGATGCTAACAGGGTTTGCAATAATGTGATACCTGGATACCATTTTTGACTGTTACGGTTTCATTTGTTATGTGCACTTTTCCAAATGCGAGTCAAGCGTTTAAGGAGAATTTTACTCGAAATTTATGGCCTAAAACAACGCTTGTGTAAGCAAAGTTTAATATTCATACTAGGTATCATAACCTGAATTAAAGCTTAAATACGGTAGGAAAAAAATATTATTTCTTTATATTTATTATAATTTTAATTTATTAAAAAAATTCCATACAGGGGGAAGTATGATTTGATGAATCAGGATGAACTATTTAATCCGGGTAGAATTTGGATATAAAAAACACGAACTGTTATCTTTTATTAAAATTTGATTTTGACTTCATATTTTTATCTTTTCATTTAATGCAAGGATAGGCAACCCATTGTTCTCGTGCGAACTTTTGCTGTGGCTCCAAGATTGCAAGTTTTTTCCCTTCTCAATCATGTGAAATCAAAAGCCAAGAAGAAAGAAAAAATCGAATTCAATTTAGGCACTCGTAAGCGCAGCCGACTCGCGATTTTACACCAGACGTTAAGCGGCAAAATTGCTCTCAATATTCCGCGAGTCATCGTTGACGTCGCGGTGGGTAGCTTCAGATTGAAAAGTTTTTCATTTGTCGGATCTGTATGTATGAGTACCTTTGTCGCCCAACATCTTGTTATTTTACAGTGCCACCATCAGTCGCTTGTCGTAGCCCACATGAAATAAACGCCAGCAACCACAGATCGAATTTTGTTGGGCGTTAAGTACCTTATTTGGCGGTTTTATACAGGTTGAAAAATATCGCTTCTTCTATGCATGTTGATATCTATGCTTCTATGACCATTTGTTTGAATTTTTTTGTAGTTATCCTAATCATGTCATCATATAAGTCTAAAAAAACATAGAAAACATGTATCTACAATTATAATTTTAACGATTAATAGGAAGAGAAATATTTTTTCACTAGTTTTAAGAATAAATGTAGTTGTTTGATTTGTAGTTCAAAGTTTCAGTTTGGGGGGGGAAGCAGTTGGACTATTATTAAATACGACGGCATTTAACAGCAGTCCATAAAAAATTTGATACTGAATACTATCATTCTAACAGCAATCTAAGAAAGAGAATATGAAGTAAAAGAATTGAAAAGCACATTCATTGCCCAACAATGAATGATTATCATGGCTGCAAGTAAAATGAAGATTGCTAAGATTGCATCATTTGCACATATACTTGCAGTTCACAAAATAAGTTTTGAAGATGGTAACAAAGTAACTTTTGAAGATGGTAACAAAGTAACTTTTGAAGATGGTAACAAAATAACTTTTGAAGATGGTAACAAAATAACTTTTGAAGATGGTAACAAAATAACTTTTGAAGATGGTAACAAAATTAAAGCACTGCTTGCTGCATCAAAGATTTTATTTCAGGATTCTAAAAATGAGAATGAAATTGTGTTAGCTATCCAAGAGGTTCAATAATACGGAAATTCTGTAATTCGGGCGTTATAGGAACTATGTCTGAAAATGACAGAAGAACAAGTTAAAGACGATTTACAAAAATGCGTTTCCTTAAGTTTACAGTGTGATCAATCAATGGATAAACACATGTAGCTCAAGAAACTTTTCATAAGGATGGTCTTTAAAGATTGCTCTGAAAGAAGATACACTGTCAGTTTTGCAATTAAAAGGCAATACATGTGGAGTGGATATGTACGAAGTTATTAAAAGCCGTATAACAGAAATTAATCTTCCACATTAAAAACTTTTGTTTGTAACAACTGCCATGATTGGTTCTGTTGATGATTTCATACCCTTTTGTAAGAATGATGTTGACTTTAAAACTTTTTTTAAATAAAACTGCATCATGTATCAATAGGCAATATGAACAAATGTTTACGCTATGAACACGTGATGAAAACTCTAAAATTTGTAAATTGTATTCGCGTAGATCAGAGTAGATTGTTCAAAGTGTTGACTGATGAATTTGATGCTGAGTACGAACTTTAATGTTACATTCTGAAAATAGATGCCTTAGTAAGAAAAACGTCCTAGAACGAATTTTATAGTTTCTGTCAGAGATAAAACAGCTTTTAGAATTCAGAAACGGAACTTACGAAGAAGATTATAGCTGGTTATCTGATTTAGACTTTCTTACAGACATAATAACCATTATGAATAAACCGAATCTTGAACACCAGGGGAAATAAAAGACTGCTGTTGAGTTAATAGGAAGTATAAGTTCATTTAAATCAACTTTAAATTTATGGATATCCGGAATAAAGGAATATTACTTTTGTCACTTTAAAAATTTGGAGAATGGTACAAAGAAATATAAGAAGGTTGAAACAATTTAATATTCTGAAAATTTCGTGCAGCTTAGAAATAACTTCGAAATTAGATTTTTCTGATTTTCGTAAAATTCTGTATATTACTTCATTCATTTCAAATCTATTTGTTAATACTAATATTCCCAAAATATCGTACGAGATTCTAAACATGTTTAATAAAAATTCTACTGATCTAATAATGGAAATAATTGACTTTCAGTCTGATCTACAACTAAAAATAAAAGTATCATTAACAGATTTTTGGTTACTCGTAGATGAGAAAAAATATGCGTTATTAAAAGAAACTTTTCTAAGGTTAAGCTTTTGCTTTAGATCAATTTACCTTTGCGATAATGGCTTTTCAACAATGAACTTGTTGTTCTTAAATGTTTTAAAATGTATGAATGCTAAAATCAAAATTTTTAAATGCTAAAATCAAAATTCAGATCCGGGATAACAAACGAACATCTGAAAGACTGCATGAATTTAATGTACAACACTGTACGTACTAGAGAACAATAAACTCGCAGAAGATATGCAGTGTCAGGTTTCACTTAAAAATACGCTTTCCCTGTATTTAGTTTGCAACTTATCGAAATTTTAATAAATAGTACTAAACAGAGTACATAATTACAAGTTTTTAACTTATTACACAACATATTTTTATAGTTTTTGCATAATATGCACTTATAATAGCATTCGGCACCCCATGAAGGAAGGTTATTGTTACAGGAGAGAGCACATCTTCCACTTATCATTGAAACGTCATACTGCCACTAATACGAACTCGTGTTGACCTGATATCGTAAGCAATGGCTCCCAAATTATGACGGCACGATTGTCGTGAAGTGTGGCGTTCCATAGTTGCGGCCGAATGAAAACTGTCACGACGTCGCCGCCAGACTCATACATAGAAACATCAAGAGTGCCCTGGACCTACCGCAAAATGTCGACGGAAGTGGCCTGCGGATTCAGCACCGCATTCCTGAGAATGCATCGGTCTACGCATGTTGAAGTCAAGCTTGCAGTACTGCCACCCGTACAACATGCCGCATTCCCTTCTTTCACCCATCTTCGCCCCAGCCGCTGCATCGTAGATGCCTGTCCGCTGCGATTCGGCGTTAGGACCAACCTGCTGTTCTCAGTCCGAGTTAATTTGGAGAGGGGTGTCCCACCAGATTTAGTGTAATTGTTTAGCTAAGTCAGACACGTTTTGCGATGGTCCTAGCCGGCGGCCGAAAATGTCTTAATTGTGTTCATGGGTAAGAGGTCCGGCAATCCAGACGGCCAAGGGAGGTACTCCATGTTGCAAAGAATATTGTTGCGACATTTTTTATCTACTTATAAAGATAACCGTTAAACAGGAAAATGCGAGACACTACGTAATTTAAAAAATTTTCTATGAAAATTGGGTTGATAAAAGGGATTCAAAAATTAATTTCAAGAACTGAACCAAACAAGCAAACAGAGAAACCGCACTAAATAAGACACTTAAAATACATACTTTTATAGCGGTATTATATTTTGTCAGATCAGGTAAACATAAAGATTGGTTTGCTGCATTTTTGGGAGAGGGGATTGATGATCTTTTCAGTCATCGTTGTGTTATCTTTGCGTGAATCGAAAAGTATCGGGTCGAGGGTTTGTAGATGCAAGATGATTAATAATTAGATGTTGTAATTGATAGCGGTACGTGTTCGCGATGATGCTGGTAATCGTAGTGAAATCAGTTCTTAAACGATTACACCCAGTAAATTGCACCAAAGGCAGAACATATTTTAGACAGATGGATTCTTATTTCGGTAATGCCTAAATAGGTCCTTCATCTTCACCGAAGTTAACATTTATTTTGCGTTGATAAAGAGGCCTCCATTCTTTAGTGTTTGTGACATCAGATTCTAGCCAATTATCGGTAGAGAAATAAGACAATAGACAAGCTGTAAGATATTTTCTCCTTTAACGAGTGCCTTTGAAGTGTAATTGGAAGTACTTCCTGTTAAAACAGTACCAAATCTAAAAGCTACTATCAACAGCGCGTCGAAAAAAACTTTACCCAGAGTTTTTGTTTTCCGGGTATCTGATTGGCTGCCGTATGCAAAAACAGTTCTTTGGAGAAATTATAATATGGGGCAAGATTCAAAAGAAATATGTTCAATTCACTTTCAAAATGCCCCTCATAGTTAGCCGTATGAATATATTCAGAGAAATTTGTTTTGGCTAAGAGCCTTCCAATGGTAAGAGGAGACTCCTCAGTTCTGAAAAGTTTTTTCTAGGCTCAATTCCTTCTAGCTACGAAAAGATCCTTCTATCTTCGTTAGATGGATAACCCCATGACAATCAGGTAATCTTTCGTGGTGTAGTTGGAAGTATGTTCGGCTAGCATTCGGGAGATCTAAATTTAGAACTCCGGCTTACATAATGACCATATAAAATTAGATATTTCTTCATGCTACTTATCAGTGAACAGACCACCCCTTTTTGAAGCTTGTTTCCCAAGCCAGCAAGCCAGGTGTATGTTAATGGAGAACTACGGCGCTATTGTGTATCTCTAAGGCATTTGCAAAATCATACAGAATTTATACAGGTATTTGCTGCAATCTACAATTGAATATCATCCTGGATATGATCGATTTTTAATCTTAATAAGCTGTAAGCTTATCACGTACGTACGAGAGCCAATAATTTTAACTGCATTTCGCCCTGAAACCTTTCCAAATGCGTCTTTAGCCCAGTTCGACTTCGCAGTGGTGAAACTAGACTTAAAAACGTACATTAAATCTGAAATGAAAAGCAGCTTATCCCGAAAGCATTTTAGTGTTACCTTAGTCTATCCGTTTATGTTTCCTATGAGAGAAATCTGGAACATTTTTTTCTGCAAGGTCGGTAATGGCCAGAAATTTCCCAAAAAACGAGCATTGAAAAATTATTATCTTCCCTGTAAGAAATATATTAACCATTTGCATTTAATTTTTTATATGGAAAAACTTACAACTCAGTCTTCCTCACATTTTTTAATAAATTAATTTAATAATTAATTGTACAACTTAACAATCACCGGTTACATAACACTAACAAATAAAACAATAATACTGAATAACAAATCATATAAAAAAATAAAATTTCCAGATGAATCTTAATGTGCAACCTAATGAAAACAATATAGAAATTTCTCTAATTTGATATAATAATTTCTCACGGAGCTCGTTTCCAGTGAAAGACATTTTTTAAAGAAATGTGGAACTCTCAAAACTTTATTTTTTAAACGATTCTTTTGTGCTCGATTTCATTAATGTTGTAGGGTTTCCCTTAGTTCAATTAACTAATTATTCAAATTTTTGTTAATTTTTCTAAACTCCTCAACTTCCCTTGCATTTCCCTACCAAGATGCACTTGGAGTTTATTCAAAGCGTGTTTTCTCTAACCAGCGCACGTTACGAATCTGTCCTTGCTGTTACGCGGAGTTGCTAATTCGCCTTTTTGGCCATTTAAATAATTATCAACTCGCCTAGGTTGTCGAAGTCAACCTAGTTAGCCTTAACTTAAAAGCGCTAGTTCAGCACTGCTCTTTAGCTTTGAACTGATTGTGTAACGATTCTTAAGTTCCACCGCAAGTTGTAGGTGTTACTGTAAAGCACGAAGTACATGCCTTTCTGTTCATAGTTGATAATAATAAAAGGTTATTTTTACCCTTTTTCTGTGTTCTTAGCATTTACGCCTGTGCGAGAAGTGGCCAGGTTCCTTAGTAGGATCTTTTACAGTTTATGTGGTTAATGAGTGCGATCCTTAATGTAAGTATAACAAGAAATGCATTTGCATAATAGCGTAAACAGAACAGATAATTAACCGCATCTTTAAAAACTTAATCTTTAGCAACTTATATATATTTCTACTTTCATTCAAAAGCGAAGCAATTAGACTTTATTTAATGGCGGGCACTAGCCATTTTTATGCTTGAGCCACTACTAAGCCCAGAAGTGGTGGCCATTTTTTTCTGGAGGCACCTAATAGGCACCTCCTATGACGTGACAGACACTTAACATCCACGCCTTCTCCAGGAATCGAGACTGAGCAATTCTGTATCTTATAACTGAGTATAGTTTCGGCTTTAGAAATATCTATATTTTTTTCATACAGTGTCACTTATTAAAAATTAAGATAATTTCACTTTATTATTTAAAAAATATGTATATAACATACCTTCAATTTTGTGTTCCTTAATTCTCAATTTTTGGATTTCTTTATCAGCTACAAAATTACAAATCTGTCATTAAATTCTTATCAGTTTTTTTTTTCTTTTACAAATAAATATTTACTTATGCATATTTTGATAATACGTGACTTATTTTTATGCTGTGAGAATTCTTACACTCGTATTCGGCGCATACTGCTGGTCATTAAAATTGCTACACTATGAATGTGGCAGGAAACGAACGTCAAATTCGCATGGAAACAACTACTATAATACTATATCCTACGATACGCAAACGATTAGCATTCCAGGGCATGACGGGAAACCAGGTATGAGTAATGCAATCTACATTGTGCGTACATGAGAAGACTGCACAACGGATTTCTTATTTGGAAATCGCATTTGAATGTTAAATGTTTGCGTAAAGTAGTGTTATGCGTCATGGGAAAAAAAAAAAAAACACGCTTTTGAATTCAAACGTGGCAGAGTCGTGGCCTATCGGAAGTACGGTTTATAGTTCTGCAACACTGCTGCTCGTCTTGGTTGGGATATCATGATTGTCAGGAAAAAGTGTAATTGATGGGTTCAGGAGGAGCGTAATGAACGTCAAGCAGGATCCCGGTATCCCCGGGTCAGTAACGTCCGAGAAGATACATATGGTATTCTCTCTACTTTGCGGGATCGTACAGCTACGCCACGTAACCTGAGTCAGGAACTTGGCTGGTGTACACTACGAGAAGGATCCACATGGACAGTAAGACTACGTCTACAGCACCACGCCGTCTTTTCAGATGAATCCCGGTTTTGCGTACAGCATCATAATGAATGTGTGTGAAGGCATTGAGGAGAACAAACATTATCACCTTGCATTCATCATCGTTATACGGGCCCTGCACCATGCATGCAATTCAGTGCATTTCCTGGTTATCTCTTCTTTACGTAGCTGGTCACGTGGACAGCTACCTTTACATATCTGACGTTTTAATGCCCGTTGCTATGCCCTAAGTTTGAGGCCTGCGTGAAGCCATCTCTCAACTAGGTAATGCGTGATCGCATGTTACCTGTGCAATCCTGACTTTCTTCGATGCAGAGGGTGTGCTGCTGTTGCCTGACCAACGCGCTCTTCAGATCTGCCACCCACTGAAAACATTCTTAAGGTTTCTCATTTTCAGCTTTAATTTAAAGGCAGGAATCTTACAACGTCAGGCCAAACGCTGACAATGAAATGGGGGAAGCGCTAGTAAAAGAAGGTACAAAACAGACTTGACATCATCGAGCTGCAGAGGGTTAAAAAAAAAAAAAAAAAAAAAAAGAGCAGTGACCCTAATGTAAAAATGTACCGTTGAAAAGTGGATGAACAGTTGGGACATTTCAGAAAAAAAAAAAAAAAAAAAAAAAAAAAAAAAAAAAAAAAAAAAACTAAAGATACGTGAAATATTTAAAACCGAAAAAGGGATTAGTGCATTATGATTTTGACTGCAATCTGATTTTAACGAGTCACAGCAGACTTCCTTCTTATTTGAAAAAATACAAGTTCAAAAACTCTGACCTCTAGAGCAACTGTAAAGTAATTGGAAACAGACAGTACTACGTTTAGACTTGGGCATTGTTTAATGATATAAGGGAAGATTTTAAGCAAAATGGAATTTTTAATTCTTATCGAATATCGAGGAAGTTTTGCGAGAAACTGACGGAAACGATAAACTCAAACAGTTTGTGGGAATATCTGTCTAACTTTTTGTGTGTGATAGTATGAACATGCTTATGTAATTCCCCCCCCCCTTTTTTTAAAATTTGTCAGCCAATTTGATGTCATATGACCACTTTGTGACGAGCCGGGCTGGCTGCTCTCTTCCCAGCACCCACCGCTTACTAAAATTATTTGCGTTCCACACATATTTGAGTTTATTAAGCAGTTGAGTTTAATACATCGTGATTTGTAAATAGCAAATAATGATATCAGTTTTAATCTTTGTAAGTAATGTAATAGCTGATATTTAATTCAATAATTAATCTTAAAATAAGTAAAATTTAATGCTAAAATTAAACTAGTAATGCATTTTTAAAATTCATTTTTTTTTATTTTTTATAAAATATTTTATAGTATGTTCTTGATGAAGTTTTACCTCTTACAAACAACTATTCTGTCCGTTGTTTGCTTCATATTTTCAACAGTAGGTTTCAATTTTATTCTCGATTTCTTAAAACTGTTGGTAACATTTTTATGAGCACCTTTCAGTTCAAGAATTTGCTGTGCTTTTCTGCATTCGATTGACGTTGGCATGCCATTATTTTTATGTATAATTTTTGCTGACAGTTTCTGCAGTTCTTTTAACACTTTTCGGAATCAATTTTTACACTCGTTATCCCAATATTGTTGTGAACTGACACATATTCAAAAAATAAATCTTCATAATTTACTTCAACTGATGTTTGAAACTTTAGCTTGTAGTTTCTCTGTTTCTTTCTCTCTTTCTTCTTTTACATAAAAACAATGTTTTAGGAAAGAGTTTTTAATTACTTTGTAGAGATTAAACCCCTGCAATGACTATAAAATGCATGACATCTAACACAGATATCGACTTAATTATATCCTTCGAAATGGTTTTATTTTCAGAAAATTCAATTCTGTTCATCTGATTCAATTCTGATTTCTGAAAATCCTTTCTGTAATGACATTTGAAAACTTTATAATACCCGCATCTAAAGGCTGAATGTTAGAAGTAGTGTCTACAGGAATAAACACTAACGTTGGGTTGACTAAGAAAATGAACACTCTGTACAAACAATGAAAAGTTTTGATTGGTATTAAGTAGGATATTATGTAAGTAAAGAATCAGTCTTTTTCCAATCTGAGTTTAATAAGCTTCGTAAAGTAGTTTAAAAGCTTAGAAATTAGTAAACAAGCTTCGGAAATAAGATTTTCTGGTGTTATTTATGTTTGCTTTTTATAAAAATTAAAATAATATAAACTCGAACTTTAAATAACTAAAATTTTGAAATTTTTTCAACACTCTATTTGCAACAAATACCTAATTAAAATGTCTTTTCAAGCCGCATAAAATTGCTTCCGTTGGTTACATTGGCTGGCGGGGCGACATTTTGAAACACTGCTTATGACGGCAGCTCCATCTGAAACGGGACCTTTTAGAAGATGCATGGAATACACCTCACTGGATTCTTTTACTATGTCGAACCATGTGAAGCCTTCGTGCAGCAGTAGAAAGGTTGATTCAAGGCCCTTATGAACCCAAAAATCTAAAACCAACTCTCTTGTAATCTTTTCACGATTTCTTCGAGCCAACAATGACAAAAATCTCTCTCTGGATACAATTGCTGCTCTTCGCTGCCTTTGATCAGGCTCTCTACTAACTGATTCACTGTTTGAAAAACAGTTCAGAATTCTTAATATGATACTTTGACGAATATTCAAATCTTGGGTGATATTTTGTGTTCCCTGCCCTCACGTCTACCAATTACCCGCCACTTCTGCCTTTTGCTTAAATGAGGATGCTTAAATGCTTAAATGGATGCATAGCTAATAAATACTGATCAGTTTCGCATTAATTTTAAACAACTCTATACATTCGAGCTGCAAGAGGCATTCGTTGAGCAACACATTCCAAGATACCTAATTTGCATATTTCATGCGCCAACCAACCAACATCTGGCTATGTTTGTATAGCAGTTTATCCATTCAGTGCATATTCTTCAATTTTGCAGAGATGATTAGAGAGTATGGTTATGGCAGTTGTGTAATTTTTAGAATTTCTGGTTTAAGTTTTCAGTTTTCGTGAATTGTAAGAGAAGACAATATTTCATACCTAGAATTAGAAATCTAGCAAAACACGTATAAAAGAAAGGTTATGTATTGAAATGAGAGAAGATAAAAGAATAGTTTAATGCAGTTTATTAACTCTTATTTCATAAAAAGAACAGTATGGAGAAGAAATTAAGAAGACTTGTTGCTTTAGATTGAGGAGGTGAAAAAATTTATACTTAGAAGAATTAAATTCTACTCTTAAAATATCAGTTTTAACGAGGAAAAATTAATAAGAAAGTATGACTAAATTTTTCCCAGATTGTTCTCAATTTGATGCCAAATATAAAGTGATATCTCGAACTTTTAGCATACATTTTGGTATACCTTGTGTTGAAGTTTTTCACATCATATTTTTTTAACTTTGTATTTAGCAGTTCTGCCAAAACATATGGGAAAATTATGTCGGACTTATTTACAGTATGACGAAACTCTTAATCATTTAATGCGAAGATTATTATTTCAATGATTTTTTATGTGCACATACCAATATGAAAGAATTATACAATAAGATAATCTTGAATTCAACAAGCTGGGTAATTTTTCAGTAAGTTAAACTTTTGAATCAACATTAAGTTACTCTAATTTTAATTTTTAAGTAACAGAAAATTGGTATAAGAGTGGTTGTAGAGAAACACTTTTCGCATTTTCTAAAAAGGTTTCTATTTATAAATTGGTTAAAACAGTCAGATTTTGAAGCTCTCTTCTAATCCTTGTATTATTATTATTATTATTATTATTATTATTATTATTATTATTATTATTAGTTGGTTAGAAAAATATAATAGCAAAACCTGCTTCGTTGCTTTCCTCCAAAGACTTCCAAATTTTGATTATTTTTTTCAAAAAAGCTTCCAGTCCGCTTCTTTCTGAAAGAGGAACAGAAAATAATAATAATTATTATCTACCATCTTAAGGTATTCTAGTTAAACGTACTGAAAATACTAAAAATGAAGAAATTAAAAGTCCATTACAAAGTAAAAAAAATACGTAAATAAAAAATAAAATAAAACTAAAATAAAAAGTGCCGAAAACTTTATATTATTTAATTTCACTTCTAACTGATATCTTTTTTTCTATTTATATTACATCTGTATAGAATTTAAGAAATATAATGAATATAAATAAATTTAAGTGCATCATTCCATTTGAATGATTCTAAAATTCAGTGGATTTCCATACTATTTATAATCTTCTGCAGTAGCATCCAGAGCTTAAAATTATATCTTAGATGCATGAAATTAAACGCATAATTAATGTTTAGCTTTAGATTTTTTTTCAAGTTTATTTAAATAGACAAAGTATAAGCAATGGCGAAAGAAAAAATAACTGAAAATGTCTTATGGATGAGAAAAAATGGAAGTAAATTTTGACAAAATAGATACACTGATTATCATGAATTAAGGAAAAATCACAAAAATGACGATTACTCAAAATGTTAAATGTAAAATTTAATAGAACTGACCCACAGTATACAACTCATAGTAAGGTATAAAATAACATGAAAAAATTACCAGACAATTTTGGTGCTATAGAAATTAGAATATGTATAAAATGAAATAATCGGATATATCATAGTTTGGTATAGGAGAATTTCCTTCAATATGGAGTACTATCTTCCCTAAAAGAAATACAATACATACAGCGATGCGTGATGCTGTCAATTATACACTCTCTCAGTTCCGTAAGATGTTAGAGCCAAAGCAGTTGCAAGTGCGGCAAGAATCTGAAGAGGAAGACTGAGAGCAGCTATACGCTTTCCTAAAGAATCCCAAGCATGCTCGATAGAATTCAGGTTCCGCGATCCAATTGGCCACTCCATACGCTGAATTGTATGCTGCTGAAGAAAATCATCCACGAAGTGAGCCCTATGATGTCTAGCTTTGTCATCTTGTAGCTCCGGCATAAGGGGGCGTTATAAGTATCAAGGATGCCATCTCTATACACCTGAGCATTCATCATTCCACTTGGAAAGACATAGAGTTCTGTGCTTCCTAAGAGATACCACCTAAAGAGATACCACACCGCACACAAATACTGCCTCCTCCGTATTCATCTCTTTCAGGGATGTTTGAGAGATAATAATGGCTTTCAGGCTCTTTCCAAATCAAATGACATTTGCTATCTCTTTGGAGGTTAAACCAGAACTCATTCGTAAAGGGAACAGCCCTCCATTGATCAACTGTCCAGTGGACATATTGACGTGCCCACCTCAAACGTTACCTTCTATGACGTAACGTGAGAGAACGCAAATGGTTGGTCGCCTCGCGTACAGACCTCCTTCGTGAAGTCTTCTATGCACGGTTAACGATGACACTAACCTTCCAGTGGCTGCAGCAAGGGAGAATCTGAGTTGAGTAGGAGTTCTGGATCTATACCTTCGCATAACAAACAAATATCGATCATCAGCGCTAGTCGAAGCGGTTGGCCGTCCTTCGTTGATCCTCTTGGATGCCGAATCTGCAGTTAGGACTTGTTGCCAAAGTCTATGAACCACAGATGGACTCACATTTAGCTATCTGGCTACTTCTGTCTGACTTTGTCTTAGTCTCCCATTAGCTCTCCATCACAATTCTTCGGGCAAACGATGCATGGAGACCATTGTTACAAATTGTCTATCCCAGATTTCTTATCTCAGTATCATAGCAAAATTTGCAGGCTTGCTCTGAAACATACAATTTTATGTTCCTCGGAGGTGACGTATTTCGATTTCAGCACCACAAATTTGCATACTGCAGTTTTATTCAGCTATTCTTATTGACAGCATATTCAGATTTTATACAGCTTATTTTTGAAAGAGTTATCGTTATTTTTGTGATTTTGCCTTAATTTTTGGAAACCAGTTCACCCCTCTTCAGATTCCGACCAGTGCACATTCACTCATGTAATAAATAAAATCAATGGCGAGAACATTAGTGACAATATTTAAATACTATTGTAAAATAATGTAAATATTTGTTTTTACCCATTTTTATTTATTTTAAATTAAATTAAACGCATTATTTGTTTGTATTTGTTTTACATCTTATTTTATTGCAAATTACTTCAAAATATTTTAATATTTTGCATTGAATATTTTTTTTATTATTTTTTGCTTACTATAAGAAATTTCGGGCAGATAATCGTTGAAAATTTTTAAATAACGCGAGTGGAATTTAAGGTATTGCTTGCTGAAATTTGTCGTACTTAAAAGTGTCCGTTGAATTGGTAGTATTTGGCAAAGTACTTCCATACTTATTAATCTTTTTTAAGGTGTTAGAAACAAGATTTAGTAGGTGCAGGAACATAATGAGGACATTTACCAGAAAATTCCCAAAACCGTTTTTCTCTGCCACTTCACCATGTGTTATGGAGCGATACAAAAAAACTTACAAATTTCTCTTGATGTATACCAGGGTTTTCAATCTCTTTCATCCCATGTATCCCTTCACCATTACCAGATTTGCAATTCCCCCTATTTTCCAAGACTAAAAAAATACATATAAATTTATTTAAATTTTTAACGTGCTTTATCAATTAAACAAGAAAAAGTGTAGAAAATGTTAACAAATACGAAACTTTGAAAAAAAGTCGTTTCTTGTACTTGTACAAACTAATACAAACTACTTAAACACGCAAATAAAAGGCTGACCTCATTCTCCTCACAAACCATGAAACTCCCTCTAGAAGTGAATTACCCCTGGTTGACAACCCTTGGTCTATACAGGAAACAATGCCGGTGTGACAGGAGCATGTTACCCGAGCCTACGCCAGCAAGAAAGAGCCTAAATATTATGAAAAATGCTGATGGTAAGAGCGGTGCCATGACTAAGTCCACAGAAGAAACTGCACACAAGGATAAAAGCCTACATGAATAAAAAGACATATGGTTGTTCTCAACTTAGATCATAATTGTTAATCAAAACAGAATGTATTTATGATTGCTATTGTGATAAATGGATCACTTACAATATAACAATAAATTGATCAAGTATGTAATAATAAAAATGTTAAAATATGTTGTATAACATCGATTTGTGATGTCTGAAAAGCGAATAAACTCTTTCAGGAAGTCTTACTTATCTAAAGATCTGGTCTACACAAATTAACATAGAATGCAGTCTCGCTTATTCGACATTCCGTATTATCCGTTATATTATCAATATATATATATATATATATATATATCATTGGCAACAAGAATTGCAAGTTAAACGTTTTTTTTTTTTTTTAATTGCTACGGATTCTATCGCGTGGCTTACCCTCCTACGCCATGATATGTGTCTGTCATCAGTGGCACTTTAACATTTCATGCGATCATATCCTTTGTTACTGTTCAGCATATGTGTCTGTGTGGTGTCTAATTTACAAACATTGTTGAATGTTTAGAAGTTGAAATTTACGCAAGTAAACTAAGAATGGGAACGAAAAGAAAGAAAGTTGTATAGAAGAACAAACTTTGAGGCAATGAGTTCCTTTTGTAATTAACGAATTATTTTATGTTCTGGATTTGTACTATTACTTTACCCTTTCCATTTTCCAGCTAGAAAGCAAGTTAGTTCGCCCGTTTTTAGAAGGTTTTCAAACTGTCAGAGGTATTTTGCCACTCCGTGGCAATGTTACTAGTTGCTATCTTAGACAAGACTCTTGTCTTCGCCTTGCATTATAATTGCATATAGCTGAATCCCACGCAGACTCATTTTTGAGTCAACTCGCATTAATGACATTGTAGCCTTTTGCTACTAGTTTATTTGAACGAAATTTTACATTTGACTTAATTTGTAAGTGGTCTGTCATTTCAACTGGCTTTAACATTTCCCCCTTTCGTTCCCTGTAGTTAATGTGTCTGTGTGTGTGTGTTGACCAACATGTTGTAATGTTTAGAAGTTGAAATTTACGCAAGTAATTAAGAAATTTGTCGAATGAATTGGTAGTAAAAGAAAGAAAGAGTAGGTGCAGAAGGAACAAAAAACATGTTATGGAGGAACTTAAAACTTGATGAGGTTCATCATGTATTTCATGATTTGCAATTCCTTCCAAGATGCTTTAATTAACGAAAATGTTTCTTTAGTCGTTGTACAAACTATTAAAAGGCTGGATTTGGTGACAACTTGCCCATTTTCCATCCCCAGACAAGTTTCTACAGCAGAAGCAATTTATGATTGCTATGATAAAGGTTGATCTACACTGAATAAACTCTTTCAGGAAGAGATCTGGTATTAACATAGAATGTCTCGCAGCTCCGTATATTTGGCAAGTTGTAAACGTGGTCTTTTTTTTTTTTTTTAATTGCTACGGATTCTATCGCGTGGCGTACCCTCCTACGCCATGATACATGTGTCTGTCATTCAGTGGCACTTTAACATTTCATGCAGATCAGTTTATCCTTTGTTACTGTTCATGCATATGTGTCTGTGTGTGTCTAATTTGACAAACATTGTTGTAATGTTTAGAAGTTGAAATTTACGCAAGTAAACTAAGAATGGGAACGAAAAGAAAGAAAGTTGTATAGAAGGAACAAAACTTTGAGGCAATGAGGTTCCTTTATGTTAATTAACGAATTATTTTATGTTCTGGATTTGTACTATTACTTTACCCTTTCCATTTTCCAGCTAGAAAGCAAGTTAGTTCGCCCGTATTTTAGATGAGGTTTTCAAACTGTCAGAGGGTATTTTGCCACTCCGTGGCAATGTTACTAGGTTGCTATCTTAGACAAGAGCTCTTGTCTTCGGCCTTGCATTATAATTGCATATAGCTGAATCCCACGCAGACTCATTTTTGAGTCAACTTCGCATTAAATTGACATTGTAGCCTTTTGCTACTAGTTTATTTGAACTTAAATTTTACATTTGACTTAATTGTTAATTTAAGTTCTCTCCCCACAAATGGT